CGCAGGTGCCGATCTTCTGCCCGTCACCGTGAGGGTCTCGGACGTGTTTTTCTTTCTTTTTTCGAGCTCCGCGTGTAACTTCCCATAGGTAATGGATGGTTGTGAAATCCATTTTGCACCACCGTTCAGAAACCCTGGAATGTTGACTCCCAAGAAACAATGGCTTCTCATGGTTTCAAATTGGTGCGAACGGATTTCGTCCATCCACAGTAGGTGTCCTTTTTGGCTATTTTGCTTGACAAATAGAAGGCCCTGGTTACCTGGTGGTTCAATCTACCAGGGCCATCTATTTTCCCAAAAGGACATGGTTCTGCCCCTTTTTGCGGGGAAACATATTCGCCAGCGAAAAGTTTGTTGATTCGAGGATGAGGTTGGCGGGAGATAAGAGATGATCGGCTTGGGCGCACGAACGGACCGGGAGTCCGACTCGAACTTGATGCAGACGCAGCCGCCTACATGCTCTCCATTGAACAACACACTACCTTCCAATTTCACAACACTCACAACACATCTACAAGGTGGACTACGACATGAGCAGGTTCACCGAAATCTACAGCCTGAGGAACAACTACATTTGGAACTACCAGATGCCTGGTGCCCCCCAAACAACAAAAATGCGTGGGTTGCCCGTTGCCACCGTGAGAACGCCACCAAGCTGCCACAACACTAAAACCACAAGAGGTGCCACTAGTCCACTGGTTGGGAGATACTCATTCAGAAATCCCGGGATTCAGTTACCATGAAAACAAGCGGGGTTAATATCGCCATGATTTCCCCAAGGTGTTCATCATCCAAATTGGGCCAACCATTCTTTTAATGGGGGGATGAACCCTAGGGCATTTGTTGTGAATTGTCCCCTGTTGGCTTTAAGCGGAATCTATCACTACTGGAAACAGTTGTTGCTTGTTTTGTTGGTCACATCGCAAGTAAAGGATCATCATCATCCTCTTTTGCAGAGCTCGTTCTGATTCCTGCGGTTGTCTCCATATTTGCTTAAGTCCCCCTGACATGGGGCACACCTGTGTTCCCGAAGCAACAAAAGAATAGAGAGCATGCATGCTTAAACCTTTTTAGTTCCCCCTCTTGGTTTTCAAGGGAATCGATTTCTCTGCACATATCTCTCTCTTTGTCCCCCAGAGGGCGAAACGGGAAATGAAAGCCATTTCTACCGATCACCCTTGGAGGGTTCTGGTGGATTCCTTTTTTTTGAGTTGGTTTTAGGGTCCACCGGATTGTTGAATGGACCCCCTCCAAATACCCTCTGCTTCTAGGGTATGATGTGGACCCTCGACTAAAAAAGGGATCGGTATTTACCGTGGAAAAACGCCGGCTTTTCAAGAAGTATTGTAAAAAATGTATTTGGAGCAAGAGGGAGGTTTTATCACCCAAGTCCCGACGAGTTCATCGTCGACCGCTGAAATGGTTGGCAGATGGTTCGGTGAAGGCCTTAGCCCTTCCAGTAAGAAGTGGGAGCTGCGGCAACGTCCCGCACCACTTCACTGTTGCCATGGGTGTAGTCTGTTTTCTTTGTTTTGTTTTGGGGGTGGGGGGGTTCATGAGGTAAGGTTCTTTCTTGTTTGTTTTTGTTTCCTCCGGGTTCAGTTCAGCGTTTCTGTTTGGTTTTGATCACTAAGGAGCCCTTCACGTCTTGTTTGTTCGGCATCTGTTCAGTGTTTTCGTTTGGTTTTGATCACTGAGGAACCCTTCGCGTTTTTTTTGGGTTTGGTTTTGATGACTTTACTTTTTAGGGGGCAAGGCCATAGCGTTTGGAACATGCTCATTGGTAAGCCCGAATTGTGAGCCATGTTGACGGCTAGTTATCAAAGTCAGAATCTGGACTTTCGAACATGCTTAGGGAATCTCAAAAGACTACTTTTGGGTGGTGTCCCTTTAACCCGCACTTCGGTGAATTTGGAGGATGTCGCTTGAACTGACCCATTTTACCTACCCCCGTAACCTCCAGATACCCACTTTTTCTAGGGTATCGTTTGAAAAACCTGGTTCAAGGTAAATACCTCCTTCTTTACCCCTTACTCCAAATACCCGTTTTTTTCAAGGTATTTTTTCGAATAACCTGGTTTTCCACGGAATAATACCACCTCTTTTAGTAGAGGGCCCGCATGATACCCTAAAAAAGGCGGGTATTTGGAGCTTACGGGGGTAGTAGAGGATCGACAAATCATACCCCTTACACCCAATACCAACTTTTTTTAGTTGGTGTCATTTGTCGACCGTCTACTAAAAAAGGTGGCAAATTTCCGTGGAAAACCAGGTTTTCACAAAAAATGCCAACTAAAAAAGGTGGGTAGTTGGAGTAGGGGGTACCCTAAAAAAAGGCATCGGGGATATTTTTTGCGTCGGGGGTCCCTTCAGCTGAGGGATGCGTCTTCCATTTGCTGAGAAGAATACCCCCGCAACCTTCAAATGCCGATTCGGCCATTTTTATCTGAAAACCGATCGGGTTTCCGTGGCAAATACCTCCTTCCCTTTTTTAGTAGAGGGTCGACAAATCATACCAACTAAAAGAAGAGGGTAGTTGGAGTAGGGGGTGTGTTTTATGTTCCCCTGTTGGTTGTAAAGGAAATCTATGACTACTGGAAATGTGTTTTTTTTCCAGGGGGCTTAAGCACATGGAAGCATCGCCGACATGTACTTTGGTATTCGGCCAAGTTAGTGGTTGCAAAGTTGTTGGTTGGGTTATGACCCACCTGGAAAGCCGTATGGCCGTTTTTTTTTGGACGGAACCCGTATTTGGATCATTTTTCCCGTATGGCCATTTTTTGCTGGCCGGTGGCCGTATTTGGCCGTATGCAACCCGTATTTTTTCAACAAATTGTTGACAAAAAGCCGTAAATAACCGTATGGTCATTTTTGTGTGGCCCAAGCCGTATGGACAGAAAAAAACGTCACATATGGGTTTCCAGGCACTTAAAAAGTCCCCCGAAGTGGTGTTTTTCTGGGGTTATCAAATAGCGAACCACTTACCAACTTGGATTTCGACTCGACCAAGTAGGGGCGGGTGCGGAACGGTCGCTCGGATGGCAATCGCGAGGTGCTGCTCATCGATCACAGCGTTAGGAAGGCGCCGCGCCCAGCGAGCTGAAGCCGCTTCGAGAGGCGAGCGACCGGAAGCAACCCGTGGCAACGCCCCGTAACCTCCCTGGGACCGATTCCATATGGCCGTCCTTTTTTAGGTCGTACGCGTTTGACCGAAAAAAGAATGGTCATACGGATTTGTTGACGGTGTTTGTTCAACAACATGTCGAACATACGTGCAAATACGGCCAAATACGGGAGTTTGACCGGAGAAACAAGAAGCCATACGGGGTGCCAGGTTGGTATAATTTGTCGACCCTCTACGACAAATGGGATCGGTATTTACCGGTGTTTCCAAAAATACAATTTAAAGCAATGTGGGTATTTGGAGCCTGGATGTTCCACCTCCCTTTTGTTTATTTTCTTTTTTAAGGGCGGGACTCAAACAAAAAGTGGACTTTGCCCCCCCCCTTTTTTTAAAAAAAACATTTTTTTTTTTTGGGGGGGGGGGGTTGGGGTTCCCTCCAAAACTCCACCTAAAAAGTGGATTCGGTTCCTTTCTTCTCAACTTTTTTTTTGGGGGAGGGGGACTCCCCTCAAAACTCAACCAAAGAAGGATGCATCCTTTCCCATGAAATTCGACTGGGCGAGTTGCAAACTGGTGCTTGTGGGTATGCGGGTCAAGAAGAATGGTTCAAATCCCCAAACCAATCCCAACCAATTCCATTGGATCCCATCTACCCATATAGTAGGCAACCCTTCGATCTATGTTCCTTCTGGTTTTATATCGGGTGGTCCACCTTACTTACCTACATATGAATGGATACCCCTACTCGGATGTTCGATCTGCCATGCAAGCGGTTAGCCTGGTTTGTAACCCACTAATGACAGGGTTAATGCCATTGAACAGGGGACCTTTTGGTGGGTTATGAGCCAGGTTACCGTTACAACTTTCCCAGTCAGGCGGTTTGTGTCCTTTTGGTTGTTTTGGTAGAACATAGATAGCGAGTCCTGGTTGAGCCGGTTGTTTCATAATCTTCCAGGGCCAGTTGTTCTCCCCAAACAAACCTATGTTATCACGACTAATAAGGCCGGGGCGAAAAAGGGTTCCTTTTGGGTGCCTTTTCTGGGATGTTCCAGCGACTGAAGTAGGTGAGAGCCATAAGTCCACACCCGAAGTTCCTCCCAGCAAAAAGCGGCCCTTAGGCCCCAATGAACAGTTTTCCGTGTCTGGTGGCTGTTGTCTATTGGAGATCTGTTTTCTTCGGCTTTAAGGTTAATTCAAAAGACGCCTACCCCCTACTCCAAATACCAACTTGTTGTAGTTGGTATTTTTTGGAAAACCTGGTTTTTCAAGGTAAATACCTCCTTTTTTAGTAGAGGGTTTACATGATACCCTAAAAAAAGTGGGTATTGGGTGTAAGGGGTAGGCCTAAGGCGCAAATCATTTTCGAAAGACTCGTTACCTGCCAGTAGCTTGCATATACATCAGCCAACCGCTGTAGTCAACATCGATATGATTCTTGTTGAAGCAGCAGTTATCCAGCCGAAGCTGTTTGGATAGTGTCTATTCAGGAAGCCCAGGTGACGTTTGGAAGGGCTTTGAATCGATTGCATGCGCCTGCAGCTCAAGCAACGCGGGCGTTTTCGCCAGCCATTTGTCAGCCACTTGTCCCGACACAGTTTCTCCCCAACCCCTCCCCTTTCCCCTCCCTCAGACACACAGCTTTTCGCATCCTTCGGTGCCAGCAAAGCGCCAAAAGCAGGCTCAGCCAGCTTGACGCAGCAAGAGCGCCCAGCAAAAGACGTCCGCTTTACCAAACAAAACCACCAGCAAATGCGCAACCAGCTCGCCACAACAAAACAAAAACAACACCCAGCAAAAGACGTCCGCTTTACCCAACAAAACCAGCACGCCATCTCCGGCGATCGCCCGCCTGAAACCGCCCGAAACGCGGCATGCCATGGCTGCGATCGCCACGGCTCGGCCCTGAGAGTTTGAGTTTTGTTTCAACTGGGGCTATATAACCATGCGGTGCCTCAGTTTTTTTCCTATTTGTTTTTTTTTGGGGGGGGCTTTTAAGTTTGTTGTTGTTGTTTGTTTTTTTGGGGGGGGACGGGGGGGCGGGGGAGGGACGCTTGTACAAATCAATCAACCAAAATGGGTCCATCAGCAGATCTTTATTGCCCGGGCAATTGACGTGTTCTTGAATCAAGGCCGCTTAAGGCAGTGTCGGTGCCCTAAGTGAGCCTTTGATTCGTTTGCTAAGTGCCCTTTAGGCTTGATGGGATTGGGATCCTGTTGAAATCCAACAGCTACCAGTGTCGAAGTGTGAGGATTGCCTCATTTCATCGAGGCCGACCGGAATGACTGAACATGGCGTTTCGGGAATGGCAAAGCCCTTGAAAAGGCCCCCCACACGAGTGTCATTCGCGTGTCGCTGCGGCTCGATTTGCCCGGACTGGGAAGGGATCTGCTGGGGAGGGCAACACGGGTCTAAGTGCTCTTTTCATGGCTTAAGGGACCTCATGGATTTAGGACAAAGTGACCTTATTTTGAAAATGGGTCATGTATGGCCCCAACATGAATCGAGGTCACTGAAAAAGAAGCTGGCAATTCCTAGATATGTTGTATGTTGAGCCACGTTCTCTCAGGGGCACCTTCATTTAACCAATTTAACCTTTGCCAGCCAACTTGGTCCGTCAGGTGTTCTTTGGTGCATTTTGCCAAGGGATGTTAGGACTTGAGAACTTTTTGCCAACTACTGGGTTTTCCGTACTAAACCACTAAAAGTTAGCCACTTTTCGCAGGGCTTCGCAGATTTCGCCACCGAGTGTTCCATTGGCCGATTTCCCAATCCCGACAGCGCTGTTCTAAGGGTTGATTCCGATTCCATTCCGGCCTTTTTTAGCGTATAGTTGAAAAAAACCTGGGTTTTTCATGGTAAATATCTATTTCTTTTAGTACGGGTGGATTCCGATTCCATTCTTTCCAACCATCCTTCTTTTCGAAAACCGGATCCGTTGTCCAACTGGGATTCCGGAGGTTTTCTAGAAAGATTCGGATCCCTGGAAAGAATGTGGAAGGTAGCACTAGAGCTCTGGGAATTCCTGTTGGCGGCCTTTTTTTTGGGGTCGTCCCCTCCCGCAGTTTCGAACCCGGGTAAGGTCTAGGCTCTGTTGAGACCCTTTCAAACTGATGGTGAAACCTTCATGGCACCTGGAGTCTTTTCTTAAGGACCCGCCTGGGACCCCATATGGCCGTTTTTTTTTGGTCATACGCCTTTGACCGAAACAAATGGCCATAAAGTTTTTTACGGCTTTTTTTCAACAACATGTCGAAAAAATATGGGTTTCATACAGGTGATTTACGCAAATGACCGAAAAATCATGGCCATACGGGCAAATACGGCCAAATACGGGAGTTTGACCGAGAAAAAAAACAAAAAAAAAAAAAAACAGCCATACGGGGTGCCAGGCGAAATAAAAATGGGTCCATGACCAACCATGATTTTGGGTCATGACCAACCTTTGTTTTTAAGGCCGGGTCTGAAGGAGACTCAGGGTCTTTGTCCAAATACCAGCCCTTTTTTTAGGGTATGATTTGTTGACCCTCTACTAAAAAAGGGAAGGAGGTATTTGCCATGGAAACCCAGGTCTTTTTCCAAAAGTATTCCGGGTAGTTTCACAGGGCTCCTTAAAATATATCCATTTTGCCCATTTGAAATATGGCTTTTTCAACACCAAAATAAAGGGACGCCACCATTTACAAGTTGCAATGTTCAGGTGTATAATGTAAGGATGCCTAGGGTCCAGGTATTTCTGTAACCCATCCGCTTCTTGATTCGCCACCTGCGAATTCGCCATCCGCGGCGAGGCCAGCCGACGCTTCGAGGAGACGGTCCAGGCGAGCAACGCCCCAAGCGAATCGACCCGAGCTGGCCGGATCTGGTTGTCCCATGGGTTCCAGGACCCTCAAATTTCCCCCATAACCGTTAAATACCCGGCCTTTTAGGGTAGTTTGTTGAAAAACACCCGGCCTTTTAGGGCAGTTTTTTTTTTTGAAAAGCCGGTTTCGGGTTTCCATGATAACTACACCTTTTTGAGCGGGTCGACATACCCGAACCAAAGTGGGGTGGTTACGGGGGTTCCAGTTCTCAGGGCGCAACTCTCACCCGGAGCAGAGAGCTGGCTGGTCAAAAGTAGGCAACCCAAATGTTTTTTTTTTTTCTTCTGGCAAATGGAAGGAAGGACTACCTGAGGTCCCAGCTGGTGGTTTGTTTTTGACCCAGCTTTCGAATTGACAGTCTGCGTTACAAGCCGGATAATCTGCACATGTAGAAAGGACTTTGAGCGCTGGAACCTGCTCTTCAGCACCCTTTTTTGGCGCATGGGCTTGATGTGTTTGGCACACATTCGAAAAGCCGGCGGGACAACAATGATGGTAATTTCCTCTGGAAATGATACCTTCAGCTTCACCTTGTTACATGATGTTTGGCAGACTCCAATGACAGCGGCTCTGGAAACCTGTGCAACGTGGACCCGGAATAATAAGCCCTTCGTACTCGGGGGCGGGGGTTCTCCAGAACTGGTCTGAATCACCTCTAAAGAATCGGGACATCCCCCAATCAACATCAATCAGGGGTCCACTCAGATCTGAGGTTCCCATTACCGTGAGAGCCGTAACAACCCGAATCTGTTTGTAGATTTCGCAGGAAAACCCGAGTGTGTTGGATGGCAGACACGCACATTGAGAGGGGCGGGTAACATGGGACCTACGCAAAAAAGACGCGGGTGATGGGTTCCCATTCGCCATGCCTTTCGTTGAGGCGAAAGGAAAACCGTCCGTTGAGAAGGAAACCTTACTTGAAGACACCCATCCCAATGGCACATGCAAAAGGGTATACTCGTTTTCCCTTCCCAGGGTTAAACACGGAGGATTTTTACGGCCTTTTTACCGGGTGTTTACGGCCGTTGACAAAAGGCCTAAGTTACTCAGGCCGAGGAAGCTCTGGGCTTAGCACACGGGTTCCGAGCCATTTGAAGTTGGAACCTCCAAAGGCGGATCCATCGTTTCAGAGACCACCACTGCATTGATCAAGTTTCATTTGGGGAGATCCAGTGACGCCTATGGGAGCGAACTTGGATATGTTGGATTGTTCACAAGGCAAAGGGACGTCCATGCGGATGCCCGTATTTGTGGAAAGCACCATTACTTGTAATAGAGAACAGGCTAAATGCTTAAACACGTGGTGTGATCATGACTTGATGTGGTTTAAAGTGCTCAAGAACCCCATTCTATTTGTTGAGCCGCTGATTTCCACCTGCACGAACTCAAGGGGTACTTCATGTTCTCCACCCCTCCCAAAAAGGAGTACCGAGCCTCAAGACACGACGACCGCCATTAGCAAGGGACTAGGTCCCCCAGCCAGGTGCCCTTTCTCACCTCTTTTTTGGGTTTGTGGGTTCCCCGTGTCTAAAGGTTCCCCGTGTCTAAAGTAGACTACAGAAAAAAAGGAATCGGGTACCAACTCCCAACTTATTCTATCCTCTCAAATCTGGAGGACCGAGTGGTGAGAAGTCCCCAGAAGAAAAAAAAATCCCCCCCCCCCCCGCGGCTCCTGAGAAAGCTGCTCGGGTTTCCCCCCCCCCAGGGGCCCCCCGGCCTCCCGGCCGAGGCCTAGGCTTCAAGTCCCGGATGAAAGTGAGCAATGGATCTGGGTGAATTTTTTACGATCTCACACGGCCAAGACACCCATAAAAATGATGGGTTTGTGTGGGGAATCGCCCCACCACCGCAAGCTTCAGGTTGGTGAAATATGAGAAAATTCGCCCAGATGGGTGCAAAATTCGTTACATGGTTCTGGGATTATGACCACTTTAGTACCAGGTATTGATTCTGAGTCATCCATCACTGGACAGATTATTCCATATTTTCGTTTCTACTGGACATACCTGGACCTAAAAGACCCCCTTTTTTCTGGCTTTGTACCGTTTGTTTTCTGGATTAAAGGCAATAACAAGGGGTCTTTTGGGGGTCCAGGTAGTCGCAAATGAGTGGTGCGGCTCGGAGTCGCTCAGTCGGTTTTTGGTGTTTGGCCTGGATGGTCCGGGTTTGTGTCGGCAAAGCCGCAGCCCCCATCAACAAGCTGTGAACTTGCGCGTGCTTCGTGGAACCTTTTTGGGGTGTAATTACGAGCCAAGTGTCCTGAGTTCATGCACTTGAAACTTTTTGGGACGACGATTTTAGTGGCAAACAAGAAGCTTGGGTACCTCTTAAAAACACAACGTTTCAACTTTTTGGGTAACATGGGCTATATGTCTGTAAAAGATGAGAACTTCCCCAGGGCTTGGAGTTTTAAGGGGTAAGCTACCTGTTTTTGGCCTCCACTCCGAGAGTTAAGCATTGGTGGGCTTCCCCACGTGTGCTTTGAACATCCGAGTGAGTCGCCTTGACGTGTGACTCAATCCAAGTGAGAAATCCGCACTTGACAAACATAAATCCGCATGCAATGGGACCTTCAAACTGGCCTGAACAATGCGACCTTCACCCAGTTTAAAGGGCAGTTTGAGGGTCCAGGTGGTTAAATGTGTCAAAGGGTTCTGAACAATTCCCATACTTGTTTGATCTACCCGCAGGGGCACCAAAGGGGATTCGGATGAGTATGTTGTGTGTGTTTTTCTTTTCCGGATTCCAGACCCCTTGTGTAGCACCCAGGAAAGTGAAGGTAAGGGATATGGCCAACCAAACATAGCAGCCAGCAGCTCTCGAGGTCTTTGCATGGGTTTTGGTTAGACCTGTATAGGTGTCCGTTTTAGGCTCTCACTTCCTGAGTTCACGAACTTTAAGCTTTTTGGGAAGACCATTTTAGTGGTAAATATAAAGTTTGGACTTTTTTTGGACCATCCACTCAGCCAGTGAGGGCGGCTAGTTTGGTTAGACATCGGCGTTTACCAGGGAAACCAATCGATTAGTTTAAATGACCCATGGGTAGACCCCATTTCATTGCCAAGCTAGCAAACAAGAAGTTCGGGTACTTGTTCTGCCCCACTCAGGAAGTGCCCCCTATTCCAGATACCTGCTTTTCCTAGGTGAACCTGGGTTTCCCATGGTAAATACCGATCCTTTTTTAGTAGATGGTCGACATCATACGCTCAAAAAACAGGTATATTTGAGTAGCGGTGAGTTAAAACAACCCCCGACTCCAAATGCCCACTTTTTGTAGGCTATCATGTCGACCCTCTACTAAAAAAGGGATCGGTATTTACCTTGAAGAACCGAAACCGGTTTTCCAAAAAGTACCAACTAGAAACAGGCGATCCGGGTATTTGGAGGTTGCGGGGGTACCTGGACCCTCAAACAACCAACTTGAACATGGGTTGTTGCAACCCCCCCCACCCTAGCCCCTTGGACCCTAGAAGAAGGCCGGGTACTTGGAGTACCCCCGTAAGCTCCAAAGACCCACCTTGTCTAGTTGGTATTTCTTGGAAAACCGGTTTTGGGTTTTTCAAGGTAAATACCGATCCCTGTTTTAGCAGAGGGTCGACACATGATAGCAACTAAAAAAAGGCCGGGTGTATTTGAGGGTGAGTTAAAACAACCCCCGACTCCAAATACCCACTTTTTGTAGGCTATCATCCAACCCTTTGTGAGTTTCCACACCAAAAGGCGTCACTCCAAAGCCCACGAGCGAGGCAAATCACGAAGGCCGGCCCGTCGCTCCGTCGCTTCGAGCTGGTCGCTGCCCCGACTCTTGCGAATCCCCGGAGGAAAGCCCTGCTGAGCTGCTCTACCCGCTATTGTTCAGTTGGGTCGCTTTTTGTTTTTTAAGGTTGTCGGTTCATGTTTGATTGAAAGGCCGAGCGGTTTGAACCTTGGGATGCAAGGTATGCAGTGTGCAAAACTTGAGCTGATGATTGGTTGTAAGATGATACTTGGATGTTCGATTTGCCAAGCGTGTAAGTAGTTCGCCTGGGTGACAAACCAGGGATGAGTCCAGGTAGGACAGTTCAGCCAGCGAATAGAACCCCGAAGCAGTTGATTAGGGGGGACAATGAATGGCCCCATGACCACATCTGATTTCTGGGTCCCATCCGAGGCAACTGAGTTTACTCAAGTGGCCTCCTCCGAACAAACTCCAGTGAAAAAGCGCTTTCGTCGATTTAGGCAGCCCTAAAGATGTAATATCTGGACCTGAAAGAACTATACCCTTATAAAATGTGGGTTATGTGAACCCAACATGGGTGGCATCACATTTTTAAGGCTAGTTCTTTCGGGTCCAGGTGCTCACAAAAAGCCGCAGCGACTCGACCGGGCTTCAGCTGCTCGATCGGAAGTGAGGCGACACGGCGCTCTCGCACCGAACGGCTTCAAAGCCGTTCCGGGAGAGCAACCAATTGGTACCCCGGAACCTCCAAATACCCGGCTACCCCCTACTCCAAATACCAACCTTTTTTAGGGTATCATGTGGGCCCTCTACTAAAAACGGAGATATTTTCCGTGGAAACCCAGGTTATTCAAAAAATACCATGAAAAAAGCGGGTATTTGGAGTAAGGGGTAGCTTGTTTGCCACTGAAACCCACTTATAACCCGCTACAAGGTTAACTCCACTTTGCACATAAGTTGGTTGTAACCCAGGTTGCCATCAACTTACGTCAGCCGAACACCCAAGGACCCACTTCTTGAGTTGGTATGATTTGTCGACCCTCTACCAAAGGAGGGATCGGTATTTCCCATGGAAACCCGATCGGTTTTCAAAAAATGCCAACGAACAAAAAGTGGGTCTTTGGAGGTTACGGGGGTACATGTCTCAGACCAAAACGTTGGGGCATCAATCAGGTGGGGTCGTGCTTTGCTTTTTGGGGAAAAATCCCCAAGGCTTTTTCAAGGAACCCGTTTTAGGGGCTCTCAACTAGCCACCCCCCTTGCATGTGGATGGTGCTAGGCGGCGGTCACCGGAAGAAATAGGTCTTGGCCGTTGTATTTCTTGTATGATATTGTGTACCTGGACCCGAAAGAACTACCTGGACCCCCAAAAGACCCCGTTTGTTGCCTTTGACCCAGAAAAAAGCGGTACAAAGCCAGAAACAATGGGTCTTTTGGGGGTCCAGGTACCCTTAAACATTGGGTGAATAGCAACCCAACATTGGTGAGTTCCCATTACTTGGTAGTTTGAGGGTCCAGGTAGACCGTTTTTTTTTTCTGGGTTTTGATTGTGACTGAAATGGGATTGGGGAGCCTTTCCGCTATTGTCATTGGCAATATCCGGGCAACTCATCCACTCATCTGCAGGTTTCTTAGGAGGGTGGCTCGTCTTGTCGTTCGACCTTGACAAGGTGAGGGACGGTTCAGGGCTCCTTAACAAATACATTTTGCAACCAGTTGAAACATGTTGCTTTTTCCACCAAAATAAAGAAATGGACACCACCAGAAAACAAGGTGCAATGTTGAGGTGTTTTTCATGTGAGGATGCCTGCCTTTGGTTTTCCTTTGGTTTCCCCCCCCTTTAAAAGGGAACCACAAGCAAGAAACGCACAAAGAGCCCTTGCAGCTGCTTCTACCCCTGACTCCAAATACCCGATGCCTCTTTTTAGTTGGTATCATTTGTCGACCCTCTGCTAAAAAAGGCATCGGTATTTACCATGGAAAACCGACACCGGCTTTCCGAAAAAAAATACCCCCAATACCCACTCTTTTTAGGGTATCATGTCGACCCTCTACTGAAAAGGAGGAGTTTATCATGGAAAACTAGGTTTTCCCAAAAATACCCTAAAAGAAAAGCGGGTATTTGGAGGTGACGGGGGTAGGGGGTATACCTCCAGCTGTGCGTCGGACTGGCAAACTCGCTTCCTGAGTTCCTACGAGTTGAGACTTGTTCCCAATCCACTCAGGAAGTGAGTACTTATACGTTTAGACCAACCTGAAAACGTTTAGGACTCTGGGCATTTTCCGGCTTTTGCTTCTCCGTCTGGGCCAAGCTTTCCGGTGTTTGTTTCTCCAAGCGAAGGGCGAGAGCCTAGAAGGAAGTTTTTGGAAGGAAGCGATGACCTGCCGAAAGCCAAGAAGGGCCGATTCCTGGCGGAAGGTGAGAGCGATTTTGCGAGTCGCTTGCGAGTTTCCTTCGCTCGGGGCGAGTCGAGTTTCCTGGACCATATCCAGTTGTTGGTTACCCCCGTAACCTCGAAATACCCGGATCGCCTTTTTCTAGAGTATTTTTTTGAAAACCTGGTTTTTTCAAGTAAATATACCTCCTGTTTTAGTAGTGGGTCGACATCATACCCTAAAAAAGCGGGTATTTGGAGTCGGGGGTTCGTTACATTTAACTTTTAGGAGCCCCTTGGACCCTAAATATGAGGGGGTTCCTTGAACCCCCCAAACCCTCAAATAATGAGGTCCTCTCGGGGCTCCTAGGGTAAGCAGAATTATTGATTCGCGCCGCTCGGGTTTGTGTTATTAAGTGTGAATTGGTTATACATTTGATTTGTGGCAAACCTTGTGTTCGACGAAAACACCAGATGGTTCGGCTCGAAAGCCAAGAGTTGCTCGTAGTTTAAGAAGGACAATCTGCCCGCCAGCTTCGAAAAAATCGATCCAAATCGGTCGCGAGCTGTGCCTGAGCACTAGTGTCCGTTTAGGTTGGGTTGGTTCAGATGGGTTCCGCTGGTGAAGATTGGTTATATTCCATTCAGTGTTGACCCCATATTAAGCAACCTCAGTAAATTCATATGGGGGGGGCTCCTCCAAAATGGTTTGATTCCCCACTAAACCCAGTTGGCCACCCGCTATGAAACTAAACTGGGGTTGACTAATATGGCGTCAACATTACCCGGGAAACCGTGAAACCCATCTATGTTTTCCAAAGGGATGCTGAGGGCTTCCACTTCCTAGATTTGCCGCAAGACGCGCCAGCCTATATACCGGGCTGTCAGTTACCCCTTGGTGGTTTAACGATTGCTGGTTTGGAGCTTTGAACCCCTGGCTGAAGTTGATTCGGAATTCGGGCGGTCTCTTGACCTCCGCAAGGACCAACAAAGGCACTAAGACAGCCGCCGAACTTCTGCCCGTTTAACGGGGTTGCCCCAACCGAAGAGGTTGGTGTTCTCCCAGTTTGAGGGAGGTACACCCACTTCCTGCTCACTTGGCGAATCGAACGTCCAAGCACCATCTTCACCCTGGTGTCCTTTCAGGTCCTGTTCAACCATGGATTCATAAACCCCGCATACCACCAACATGTTACCAGGTCCAAAACAGACCCCCCATTTTTTGGAGGTGCATGGGTACAAGTTCCTGTCCAAAGCACAGTGACTTTGGGTTCTACCGACATAGTGAAGGCTTACACAATCCTTACACAGCTTCACGAAGTCAGGCAGAAACGGAACTACCTACACAGCCAAGCGGAAGCGGTTTTGGGCGCTCAGGTTTTGCTCGCTTCCTGAGTTCTCGGACTTCCCACCTTTTGGGATTGGATCATTTTAGCAACAAGTTTTGACTGTTCGCCCAATCAGCTCAGGAAGTGAGTTTTTGGCTTTGATGTTTAGGGTATGTCGAGAGCCTGACAGGTTCCCATAAGGGACCGCTTAGTCCGTTGACGGACCTTGCACGACTGAGGCGCAAGGAGCGACTGTGCTCAGCTGGAAGCTGGATGGGGAACTTTCCCTAAATGACGGATTAGCCAACAGACAAACCCGATGGCAGTCCCATTGGTTGGTTTCCCCTGTTGGTTTTCGGTTGTTTCTTGTTCTTTCCCTTTTATTGCCGAACAGACATCCCGGTTGGACATCAACACGCGTTTTGGTGTTTACCTTTTGACCCGTGTTTTAGACCTTTAACTGGGATGGCCAAGCATTTGCCGAAACAAATGCCTGAGGTGCGAAATATATATAACTTATTTTCCCTGTTGAACGGAATCTCTACAGTCATGTTTAGTCCTGAAACCGCTGACTCCCAAACCCTCTCGCTGCTTGGATGACCACCCCAGTTAGCAAGTATAGTTGATACCCCTATGTTACAAGTCCTTCAAGTAGGATATATCCTATACATAAAACCCTACTCAAGAGCTGAATGCTGACTGGGTTTCCTATTTGGGGCGGTCATCCAAGTGGAGTTTTGCGTCGTTGCAAGGGCTCTCTTTGTTGCAGGCTACTGCGACAGCCTTCAGAGTGACAGCACGTAGCTGGCTCGGAGTGACCGGGTGACAGCATCCCGCCCCTCCCTCCCCAATCAAACCTGGGCGCTTGCGCCCTGCTTTCCGAATTTCTTTAGGTGTTCCGTTTTTCGGAGGCGAAGGAATGGGTTGGTCAGGTAAACTAAAAGGAAACCAACGCCGCCTACTTTGAGTATTCTGCGGAAGCTGACCAGTTCTTGCTATTCGGCTGGATCTTTAGACTTCAACTTTGTTGGAACTCAATGGCTTGTCCATTGAATCCACAAGTTCGGCCTGAAGGCTGATTTCCCGGCTGGGTATGTGGGAGTTGATCAATATTCCTGGCCCCCAAATGACCAAGGGATGACCATGGGTACTTCTTCCCATTTGGTGGTTGAAATATAAAATCCTTTTAGTGGTTTCCCGACCAATTGTCACCCCGCGTGAAGGCCCTTTTGATCAATGTACCCCCATACCTACTACGGGTCGACATGATACCGACTAAAAAAAGGCAGCGGGTATTGGGTGTAAGGGGGTCCACTGTACTCCAAACACCCTCTTTTTCTAGGGTATGATGTCGACCCTCTACAAAAAAACGGATTGGTATTTATCTTGGAAATTCGTGTGTTTCCAAAAACATGCCCTAGAAAAAGTGGGTATTGGGTGTAAGGGGTACTTCCCCCTACTCCAAATACCCGGTCTGGTGGTTTAATGTTGATCCATGCCCAAACCCAGGTTTTTCCCAACAAATACCCGTGAATATTTGGAGTAGGTACGGCTTTCCAGACAAGTAAAGGCGTCTTTTGACCATGGCTCACGTGGTTTCCTCTTGAGAGTATCTGCTGCTCGCCAGTGAGTATTTGGAGGTTACGGGGGTAGGGAATGAGAGCTGGAATGAAGCGGTTTGGGATTCCCTTAAAGAAACCTATAGATGGTTGATAGGGGTCATTCCCTCATTCCCCACTGAGCACCAGCAAAGGGGGAGCAAAACCAGGCGACGAGAAAAGGGCAGAAAAGATTTGGGGTTGATCAATATTCCATTCAGGGCCCCCAGTTTTGACCATGAACTTTTCCCATGTGGTTGACACATCAAGACTTTTTTTGTGGTTTCCCCTACCTGGGACCCCATATGGCCGTTTTTTTGTTTTTTTTTTTGTCATACGCCTTTGACCGAAAAAATGGCCATACGGATTTGTATGTTTTTTTTGGTGCTTTCTTTTTTATTTGTTCAACTGTCGGAAAAAAAATATGGTTTCTTCATGTAGACCATGCCACCGATGATTTTTGGCCCCAGGCCGCAGGAGAAGCGCCCGGTGCTGCCGCTGCTGCGCAGGCGCGACGCGGCGACTCGCGACGCGGCGACACTCGCGACTCGCGACTCGCGACTCGCGGGCCGGATGTGTTACCGGGGGGGGGACCAAAAAACGTGCCAGGGGAGAAAAAACACGTGCAGAATTGGCTCCCCTTGCTGTTGTTTTTTTGCTATTTTGGGGTCCCTTTGTTTTCCACGAACCAGGCAAAAAAGATATTTGTTTGCTGGGGTCCGATTTTTCCAGCCTATGAAATAGTTCGACACAAAGAACTGGGTCGTTCGTGGTTGAAAGGGAGCCAAGGAGCAGGTATCCAATTTTGAGGTAAAGGAGGGAGTTCTGGAAGAACATGGTATATGTGCCGATGTACAATTCCTAGGTCCCCCAACTAGGTGCCCAGTCTCACCCCTTTTTTAGTTGAGGTTCGAGACGACAGAAAAAAGTGGGTACCCTGAACCTCTCCACTGGCGGACTTAGAATAACTTGGGGGATCTTGCCGGATCTTACCCCAGCGAGTCCAAAGGCCTGAGTTACGGGGGAAAAAAAGAAAACAAACAAAAAAACACCGCGTTTTTGTTTTGTTTTTTTTTGTTTTTTTTAATAAACGGCCTTTTTACGGCCATTGACAAAAGGCCTCAGTTACGGCCGAGGAAGCTTTGGGTACACGAACTTCCGAGAGGATCTCCATGACTCCCGGACTCCAGCCACCTTCGACAGGAACCTTTCGAGGAACTTTCTCCAACTTTCTCCTTGCAAAGCGCATCTGATTGAAAGAGCATGAACTAACTCGTGATACCCCGTACTCCAAATACCCGGCCTTTTTCTAGGTGGTATTGTTGTTGGAAAACCGATTGGCATTTTTGAAGGTAAATACCTAGACCCTCCAGGTGTGCATTTTTTCTGCCGCTTGCTGAAAAAGCAATATGTTGTGTCGCTTGCTCCAAAAGGAACCTTTTTCTCTGAAAAGTGCTGCTTCAAAATCTTGCCAGAACGTAGTCGGCAAATGTTGCTTTTTGGTCGGGGAATGTCGCCTTTGGGTCGGGCAATGCCGCCTTTTCGTCTTCATCCTGGTTACGCAAAAAAGGAAAATTCGCAAAAACGAGGCAAAAACATGTGTCGTTTGCACCAAAAGGAGCCTTTGGATCAAACAGCACAACAAATGCACACTTAGGAGGGCCCAGGTATAAACCCCTTTTTAGTAGAGGGTCGACCTAATACCAACTAAACAAAGGCCGGGTATTTGGAGTCGGGGATACCCCTTACACCCAATACCAACTTTTTTTAGTTGGTCTCATTTGTCGACCCTCTACTAAAAAAGGGATCGGTATTTACCATGGAAACCCGGGTGTTTCCAAAAAAATGCCCTAGAAAAAGACCGGGTATTTGGAGGTTACCGGGGGTAGCTTCACCGTTCACCCGTTTCGTTGGTCGGGACCCGAGCAGAAGGCAAGCTACCTGCGCAAGGGAAGCCGAAGTGAAGCGAACGGAACCAGAAGTCTCCCTAAGCTCACTTCCTGAGTTCATGAACTTTAGACTTGTTGGGAAGACCATTCTAGTGGAAAACGTAAAGTTTGGACTCTTTTTGGGCCATCCACTCAGCCGGTGAGTAAGGACCCTTAAAAAATCAGAAAATGCTGGGTCATTCCCCCAAAATCACGGGGTCATGACCCCCTGGGACCGATTCCATATGGCCACTTTGTTTTGGTCATACGCCTTTGACCGAAAAAATGGCCATACAGTGTTTTACGGCTTTTTTTAAACAACATGTCGAAAAAATATGGGTTTCCTACGGGTGATTTACGCAAATGACCGGGGAAAAAAAAGGAGAAACAACAAGGAGGAAAAAAAAACACACAAAAAACAAAAAAACACATGGCCATACGGGCAAATACGGCCAAATACGGGAGGGTGACCGAGAAAAAAGAAAAAACAGCCATCCGGGGTGCCAGGCCCCTTTTGAAAGGGTCCTTAGGGAGACTCCAGGCGGGATGTCCAGTCCAGGTTGATATCTTCGAGGTTCCAGCGCCTTAGAGCTTCCGAAGGGCCGTAACTTAGGCCTTTGGTCAACGGCCGTAACCCCGTAAAAAGGCCGCAAAAAACGCCTCGTTGTTCACCTGGATTCTTCAAAGACCGTTGTTGTTTTTGTTGGTGTTTTTTTTTTTAGATGGCCTTTCATCCAGAAAAAAGCGGAAGCCAGACAAAAGGGATCGGTCTTTTGGGGGTGGTAAACGGCCTCCGTACAGGCCTTTGGACTCCCTTGAAAAGGATCGCCCCCGAATCCCGAATCGGACGTCCGCCTTCGGGAACGGCGGGCGTTCCAGCAAGCTTCGGTTCAAACTTCCGTCCGGCTCCTTAGGTGTTCCCCGTGACCACCCAGTACCCACCTTTTTTTAGTTGGTATCATGTCGAGGTATTTTTACCTTGGAAAAAAAAGGTTTTGCAAGAAATGCACTACACAAAAGTGGGTATTTGGAGTGGGGGGGTTGGTTAGTTTTTTAGTTGGTCTACCCCCGGAACCTCCAACTAGGCGCACAGCGGGCCTGATATGTGGGGGAGGGGTGTGCACCATATAATATACCCCTTACACCCAATACCCGACGCCTTTTTTTAGGGTATGATTTGTCGACCCTCTACTAAAAAAGGAGGTATTTGCCAAGGAAACCCAGGTTTTTTCCAAGAACACCTGGTTGGGTTTCCGAATTTGACCCACAGTCAAACTTTTTGCAGAAGAACAAAAAACACGGATGTGTGTGTGTGTGTGGTTTCCTCCGCGAGAGAGGGTTTCAGGTATCTCTTCATTGGCATGGAAATTTGAAGTCCTCGTAAAGTAAAAATGGGAAACCAGCCCTGAACCCTTCTGGGTAAACTTGTGTTTTATTCTACGGGGCTGCCGATGTTTCCATCCAAAAAGGGGATCGGAAGGTTTTAGTCATCAAACTCGATGACCAGTTCCCCAGTGGTAGCCTTCTTCCTTCATTTTCCTTTTTAGAGGGACGGTAGCTTCGTGGCCGGCGTTAAGGATTGTTAAGCCATGCAGGCAAACGTCTCCTTTTTCTCTCGTGATTCTTGGTGGTTTGGATTGGTGAACCCCTGACTTTTGCGGAGGACAAAAGGGAAACCCCTCCTGAACCACCAATCCAACCGCCAATTGGTGGAAGCTGAAATGAGAGTTGATCAAAAGCACCCCGTATGGCTGTTTTCGTTTTTTTCTTCGGACAAACTCCCGTATTTGGCCGTATTTGCCCGTATGGCCATGTATTTTTTCCGGTCATTTGCGTAAATCACCCGTATGAAACCCATAATTGTCCGACAGTTGAACAAATAAAGAAGAAAACACACACACAAAAAAAAAACAAAAAAAAAAAACAAAAACATACAAATCCGTATGGCCATCTTTTCGGTCAAAGGCGTATGACAAAAAAAAAGAAGTTATATGGGGTCCCAGGTAGGGGAAACCACGAAAAAAGTCTTGATGTTTCAACTACATGTGAAAAGTTCCCCATGGTCAAAACTGGGGGCCCTAAATGGAATATTGATCAACCTCCAAATCTGGCCCCGTGTTGCTCCATCTTTTACTTGCTGGTGCTCGGCGGGGAATGAGGGAATAACCCTAGAAACCATCTATGGGTTTCTTTAAGGGAATTCCAAACCGCTTCATTCCAGTTCTCATTCTATACCCACTTTTTCTAGTTGGTATTTTTTTGAAAACCGAGCAGTTTTTCGAGGTAACTACCTGTCCCTTTTGTAGTAGAGGGTCGACAAATGATACCAGCCAACAAAAGGCATCGGGAGTTGGGTGGTTCCGGGGGTACTTCCCGCTCGCGAACTCTCGGCGACTCGGGCGATCCGCGCGCCTCGCGAGGCTGCTGACGGAGGTGAACCGCCGCAGCGTGCAGTCGCCGGAGGAACTGCTCGGCTTCGAGGACGGCGCCCTTGCGCGCAGCGGCGAGTGGGAAGAGGCCCCGTAACCACCCAATACCCGGCCTTTTTTTAGTTGGTATCAGGTCGACCCTCTACTAAAAAAGGAGGTACTTACCATAGAAAACCAGGTTTTCCAAAAACATACCCTGAAAAACGTGGGTATTTGAAGTAGGGGTGTGGCGGTTCTTTTTGGTGTGAAGGGTTTCGATTCCTTTAACCTCAACCAACCAAATTAGGATGCCGATTCTTTTTGTCCCATGGCCACTGGGCATCTTGAGTATACCTTAACGGTTCTTGGCGATCAAGTTGTCCCAGTAGATTCCAGGCAAACCCATTTGGTAGGTAACCGGCTATTTTCCTTTGCATTTTAAAGGGTGGTTGCGAAGGGGGTTGTTGTGTTGTTTGTGATTGTTTCGTGGCTGTTTTTTTGTTTGTTTCTGTTTTTGTTTTTTGTTTCTTGGGGGTTAGGAGTCTGGTTGCAAACGGATTGGTGCCGCTGACATCGATCTCGGGCGTTTGCTGAAGAACTTGCGTCACAAAGTGCCGCTTAGATCCGGTTAGACAGCTAGAGGGTACCCACAAAGGGGATAGTTCAAGACCCATACAGGATTTTCCGTCGCACGGGTGCGTACAAGGATTTCAATCAGTTGCACATGCTTGGCCCTTCAAAGCCATTGAAACAGGGCCCCGGCCCAATCTATATTACTATGTTTTTGCAGGTGCGGGTGTGGCAACTTGAATGCACCCAGAAGAGCATTTCCCCGCCATGAAAGTGGATGTTCATCTGCCCAGTGGAGATGTGTGCTCCGTAGCAGTCTCGCCGGAGACGCCCGTGAGCGAGCTGAAGGCTGCCGCGCAGCAGCATTTCCAGCGCCGCTTGACCCTCACTGCAAAAGGCCGACAGCTCGATTTGATGGCCACGCTGCGCGAGGCCGGGTTGCAAGCTGGCGACGTGGTGGCGGCGGTTGTGCAAGTTAGGAGACTAGCTGCCAACAGTCAGGCTTTTGCTTTGCATGACCATGGGGGCGAGGTTGTGACCTGGGGTATTCCAGGGTATGGCGGAGACAGCCGCCAGGTGCAAGAGCTTCTGCGAAACGTCCGGCAAATCCAAGCAGCTGCCGAAGGTGCTTTTGCTGCCATTCTCGAATCTGGGGCTGTTGTGACCTGGGGTGATCCAAGCCATGGCGGAAACAGCAGCCAGGTACAAGAAAAGCTGACCAACGTCCAGAACATCCAAGCAACTACAAGCGGTGCTTTTGCTGCCATTCTTGAATCTGGGGCTGTTGTGACCTGGGGTGATCCGGAAGAAGGCGGAGACAGCAGACGGGTGCAAGAGCAGCTGAGGAATGTCCAGCACATCCAAGCAACTAGAAGCGGTGCTTTTGCTGCCATTCTCGCATCTGGGGCTGTAGTGACCTGGGGAAATCCACAAACTGGCGGAGACAGCAGCCGGGTGCAAGAGCAGCTTAGGAACGTCCAGCACATCCAAGCAAATGGTGCTGCTTTTGCTGCCATTCTTGAATCCGGAGCAGTTGTGACCTGGGGTAGTGCAGGCTGGGGCGGAGACAGCAGCCAAGTGCAAGAGCACCTGAGAAACGTCCAGCACATCCAAGCAACTGGCGGTGCCTTTGCTGCCATTCTTGAATCTGGCGCTGTTGTGACCTGGGGTGACCCAAGCCATGGCGGAAACAGCAGCAAGGTTCAAGAGCAGCTGAGAAACGTCCAGCACATCCAAGCAACTGGCGGTGCCTTTGCTGCCATTCTTGAATCTGGGACTGTTGTGACTTGGGGTAATCCACAAACTGGTGGAGACAGCAGCCAGGTGCAAGAGCAGCTGAAAAATGTCCAGCACATCCAAGCAACTTTTGCTGCTTTTGCTGCCATTCTTGAATCTGGAGACGTTGTGACATGGGGTGATAGACACTATGGCGGTGACAGCAGCCAGGTACAAGAGCGACTGAGGAACGTCCAGTGCATCCAAGCAACTTTTGGTGCTTTTGCTGCCATTCTTGAATCTGGGAACGTGGTGACATGGGGTGAGAGACACTACGGCGGTCACAGCAGCCAAGTGCAAGAGCAACTCAGGAACGTCCAGCACATTCAAGCAAATTTTGGTGCTTTTGCTGCCATTCTTGAATCTGGGGCAGTTGTGACCTGGGGTCGTGCGGACTGCGGCGGAGACAGCAGGAAGGTTCATGAGCAGCTATTCGCGTGCAAGAAGCCTTTTGGAAAGGGGAAGAGAAGGTGAAACCACCAGCGCTATCCAACTTAAGTGTCATTTGCTCCCGCTTGCTCTAGCGAAAAGGGATCCTTTTGAGTGTGCTTGCTTGAAGGGTACCCTGTTTGGTGTTGTTTACAACGTAAAGACATCAGGTGTCGGGGGGTTCAATGCGCAAACGCGCGTATGTGTGTGTGTGTGTGTGTGTGTGTGTGTGTGTGTGCGCGTTTGTCTATGTGCACAGAAACAGTCAGTCTTTGTTGCGACCATACCAAGGGTTGTGAAGTTTCCAGGGATCCTGGAAAACCTGATAGAAATCCAGTTGGAGAACGCTCGGTTGAAAAGAACCATGGTTGAAAAGACTGGTTGGAATCGACCCCTGGAATCAAGGTACCCCCGAAACATCCAAAAGCCCGCTTGTTGAGGGTATTTTTTGAAAAAACGCCTTTGACCGAAAAAATGGCCATATACGGATTTGTACGGTTTTTTTCCAACAACATGTCAACGAAATATGAGTTTCATACGGGTGATTGACGCAAATGACGGGAAAAAAAGCTGGCCATACGGGCAAATACGGCCAAATACGCGTACCCTTGGTCCTGGAGTAGGTGGTATGCCCAGATCCCAGTTGAGGCTCAAGGCAAGGGTAGGCTGGCGCGGGTAGGGACTTTTAAGTAGTCACCGGACGGCCATACCTCGGCCGTTGAAAAGGATGGGTCACATTTTTTCCTGGAGTGTGTTTCTTTGGACATGGAAAACATATGCAGTTTATGGGGAGGGGGGGCCCATTTGCGGCTTTAGTGGGGAATCAGACTGCTTTGGAGGGGAAGTACCCCCTACTCCAAATACCTGCTTTGTCTAGGGTATTTTTTAGAAAACCTGGTTTTTCAAGGTAAATACCTCCTTTTTTAGTAGGGGTCGGCATGATACCCTAAAAAAAGTGGGTATTTGGAGTCAGGTATACATGGGCTGCAGAGAGAGAGAGAGAGAGAGAGAGAGAGAGAGAGAGAGAGAGAGAGAGAGAGAGAGAGAGAGACAGAAACAGAGACAGGAAGAAATAAATAAACAAGAGGAAGAGAAAGAGAAGCAGAAAGAGCAAGAGCAAAAGAAAGAAAGAGAGAAAGATGTGCTCCAAACTACAATCACAGTGCCCCCCCAGCTCTGCCGGACTTTGGTGGTCAATATGCCAGGCATTCATGTACTGATTTTCCAGCACTAATATCAACGGGGTTGTTCCCGCCCACAAACCCAGAGCTTCCTCGGCCTGAGTAACTTAGGCCTTTTGTCAACGGCCGTAGACACCCCGCAAGAAGGCCGTAAAAAGGCCGTAAAAAACCAACCCGTGTGTAAACGGCCTCCGTAACTCAGGCCTTTGGGCTCCCTGGGAAATGACAGATCGGGCCGATCTTGGGACCCCAATTGATCGAAGGGCGTGTCAACCTGGAAAGCCCTGCGGGGCCATTCCTTTTTGGACGGAACCCATAAATTTGGATCGGTTTTTCCCGTATGGTCATTTTTTGCTAAGCGGTGGCCGTATTTGGCTGTATGCAAGCCGTTTTTGTTCAACAAAGTGTTGACAAAAAGCCGTATAATGACCGTATGGTCTTTTTTGATGGCTCAAGGCGTATGGACAGAAAAGAAAACGTCACATATGGGTTTCCAGGAATTCACACGTGATCGTGCTTTGGTGGCAAGCTAACTCTTTGGAGGGTCAGACCCCAGTAATAGCAAAATGCAGAGTCCCGTATTGATGTCACTGGGACCTCTGTTGAAATGACTCTACACTGAAGGTCCACTACATATGGACTGCAGTCAAAGATATATGAGTTTTGGTGAGAGCAGTTGCGCGATAATATAACTGCCTAGAATAAGCAACTGACATATCATGGTATGATGTTATGATAAACTCACTTTTCTGGACTTTAGTCACTTTTTGGGTTTGGCCCATTTTGGTGGCAAATAAGAACAAGTGCCGACTTTGTTTTGGCCATCCACTCGATGCAAGTGAGTAAATAAAGCAAACAGGTCCTCAGCTCCTTCTCATTTATTGCGTCCACTTGGATGTTCGATTCGCCAAGTTCGCTTCCCCAGAATTAGCTCCCCTTTTTGCTTTTTTGCTTTCTTGGTTGGTCCCCTTTGTTTTCCACTCACCTGGCAAAAAAGAGATCTCATGTTTTGCTGTGGTGTTCTTCCTCCAGCCTAGTTCGCTGGTGATCGCGACACGGGGTTTTCACATGACAAGTTGAATTCACCAAGCACTGAAGGGGGCGTCTACCCCCGTAACCTCCAAATACCCGGCCTTTTTTAAGGATATGTTTTTAAAAACCGATCGGTTTTCAAGAAAAAACTGGAAAAAACAGGCATTTGGAGTAGGGGGTAGGTACTCCAAAGACCTTCTATTGTTTAGTTGGTATGTTTGTTGGAAAGCCGGTTTCGGTTTTCCATGGTAAATACCGATCCCTTTTTTAGTAGAGGGTCGACAAATGAGACCAACTAAAAAAAGGCCGGGTATTGGGTGCAAGGGGGAAGTGGGTTAGAACGCAGCGGTTACCGTTACAACTTGCGAACTTGGCGAATCGAACACCCAAGTACGCTCCTTAAAAGATATCTACCTTTTGCAACCATTTCAATCATGGCTGGCTTTTTCAACACCAAAATTTTGGGAAATGGACGCCACCAGAAAACAAGGCAGGCAATGTTCGATCGGTGTATGCATCCGGATTTGTGTTTCCTGACTCATGTGAGTGCGTTTTTTTGTTTGGGCCACACCCCTGAGGACGTGACTGCGGAGTGCGGAATCGCAGACCCGAATTTGGCTGGTCAAAAAATACTCTTTTTGGGAAGACCATGAACTTTGAACTTTTTGGGAAGACCATTTTAGTGGTAAATATAAAGTTTGGACTTTTTTTGGGCCATCCACTCAGCCAGTGAGAATAGGTACCCCAAATGGGTTGCCGTGTAAATGGAATGGACTAAAACATGCGGTCCATATCCTGGTGGTGAAAATTTTTGACCCACACCCATTTGCTGTATGGCGAGTTCCCCTGCTTTTTCGGCGACTTCAGGGCTCCTTGCAAGATACATTTTCTCAATTGAAACATGTTGCTTTTTCAACACCATAAAGGGAACGGGAGTTGCAGTACATGGACTAAAACATGCGGTCCGATTCCTGGTGGTTTAATTTTGACCCACACCCAAAAATGGGGGTGGAGGCCCCTCCAAAAGTGGTCTGAATCCAAGCCCTAAAACCAGGTTGACACCATATTAACCAACCAGGGGTGTAATTTTGACCAGGGTTGTGGGATCAAGGGGTTTTTCCCCACTTCTGTGATACAAGGGAATCTCCCCCTTTATATGGGGGGGTTAGTCTGAAGCCCGTTTTGCAACGTATCATAGAAGTGGCTAAGCCATTCCCCACAGCCCTGATTTGCACCCACCCACCCACCCACCCACCCACCCACCCACCCACCCACCCACCCACCCACCCACCCACCCACCCACCCACCCACCCACCCACCCACCCACCCACGTATCACAGAAGTGGTCATTCCCCTCTACCAAAAAAGGGATCGGTATTTACCATGGACACGTTTCTCCAAAAATACCAACTAGAGAAAGGCCTTTGGTATTTGGAGGTTACGGGGGATTTGTTTGACCCACACCCATTTGCAGTGACTCGGATCGAAGTTCACTCCACCGCTACAGGAGCTGGCAGACTTCTGGGAGGCGGCGCTCGGACGGTTTTTGTTTGACTCGGCGGCCGGTGGCTTTTCCGGCGCCCACGGCTTAAATACCCGGGATCCTTTTTTAGGCTTCACTGCTCTTGGCAGGTTGTTTTGGTTTTGTAGTTGTTCGGTTCTGTTCAGTTTTACTGGGGGTCTGCAAAAACAAAGTTTGTTGCTACCATACCAAGAGTAGAGATGTAGGGTATCATGCCGAGCCTCTACTAAAAAAGGGATCGGTACTTACCATGGAAACCCGATCGGATTTTCAAAAGATACAATAGGACAAGTGGGTACTTGGAGTAGGGGTTTTTGTTTGGTGTGTTTTGAAAGGGCTGGCTTTTCAGGCACTTAAGTACCTTTGTCAGAAAAGGGTTGACATGATACACTGAGCAAAGTGGGTTGTGTGTGTAGGGGGTCCAGTCGCAAGCGCCAATTCATCCCTCGATTGGACGACAAAAAAAGCTCAAGAACTTCCGCAAAGTGTTGGGTAGAATCACTTACTCAGTTGCCCAAAGCGAATCGACCTTTTAACCTTTTGGTTGTCCCCCGAAGGTGATCACCTTTGATTCCTGGGTCCTTGCGACTGAGCTTAGATACTTGAAGCAGGATCCTCACTGCTGGGATGGTTCAATCAAGACCCATGGCGGCTCACTTTGGGCATTGTGTCCGATTTGAAGCCTCGAAGCTTGGAATTCCTTCGAACAGCCAGTCACAATCGCCCCCCCCCCCAAAAAACAAACAACAGAACGCCTCAGTGTTTTTTATGGGGCAACCTGAACACACCCGCACACAGAAGAACCTCCATTTGCTGAACAGAATACTTGTTTTTGTTCCCCTTCTTGATTTGCTGAACAGAATACTTGTTTTTGTTCCCCTTCTTGGAAGGATCAAAAAACTGACTACTTGTTTTGTTTTTTTTCCTGGGGCCTAAACCGAATGGAAGAGAATCTCCCTGCGCCATGCAAGTGGATGTCCACTTGCCCAGCGGTGACAATTGCTCCGTGGCCGTCTCGCCGGAGACGCCCATCAGCGAGCTGAAGGCTGCAGCACAGAAGCATTTCCAGCGCCGCTGCTTCCCCAGAATTCGCTCCCCTTTTTGTGTTTGTTTTGCTTTTTTGGTTGGTCCCTTTGTTTTCCACTCACCAGGCAAAAAAGATACATGTATCTATATATATATATTTTTTGGCTGGGGTCCTAATTCCAGCCTAGGCTTGAAGCTGGTTGCGAAAGGCCGTCAACTCGATTTGACAGCCACGCTGAGTGAGGCTGGCTTGCAAAATGGGGATGTGGTGACTGCGGTTGTGCAGCTCGGCAAACTGGCTGCCACTAAACAGGCGTTTGCTTTGCATGGCCATGGTGACGAGGTTGTGACCTGGGGTGATCCAGAATGGGGCGGAGACAGCAGCCAGGTGCAAGAGCAGCTGGAAAAAGAAGTCCAGCACATTCAAGCAACTTCTGCTACTTTTGCTGCCATTCTTGCATCTGGGGCTGTTGTGACCTGGGGTGATCCAGAATGGGGCGGAGACAGCAGCCAGGTGCAAGAGCAGCTGCAGAACGTCCAGCACATCCAAGCAACTGACCGGGCTTTCGCTGCCATTCTTGAATCTGGGGCTGTCGTGACCTGGGGTGATCCAGACTTTGGCGCAGACAGCAGCCAGGTGCAAGAGCAGCTGAGGAACGTCCAGCACATCCAAGCAAATTATGGTGCTTTTGCTGCCATTCTTGAATCTGGTGCTGTTGTGACCTGGGGTGATCCAGAAGAAGGCGGAGACAGCAGCCAGGTGCAAGAGCAGCTGAGGAGTGCCCAGCACATCCAAGCAACTGCCGGTGCTTTTGCTGCCATTCTTGAATCTGGGGCTGTCGTGACCTGGGGTCATCCAGAGCTCGGCGGAGACAGCAGCCAGGTGCAAGAGCAGCTGAGGAACGTCCAGCACATCCAAGCAACTTATGGTGCCTTTGCTGCCATTCTTGAATCTGGGGCAGTTGTGACCTGGGGTCATCCGGAAGAAGGGGGAGACAGCAGCCAGGTGCAAGAGCAGCTGACACACGTCCAGCGCATCCAAGCAACTGCTGGTGGAGCATTTGCTGCGATCCTTGAATCTGGATCTGTCGTGACCTGGGGTCATCCAGAGCTCGGCGGAGACAGCAGCCAGGTGCAAGAGCAGCTGAGGAACGTCCAGCACATCCAAGCAACTCACCGGGCTTTCGCTGCCATTCTTGAATCTGGCGCTGTTGTGACCTGGGGTGATCCAGAAGAAGGCGGAGACAGCAGCCAGGTGCAAGAGCAGCTGAGGAGTGCCCAGCACATCCAAGCAACTGGTGGTGCTTTTGCTGCCATTCTTGAATCTGGGGCTGTTGTGACCTGGGGTGATCCAGACCACGGCGCGGACAGCAGCCAGGTGCAAGAGCAGCTGAGGAACGTCCAGCACATCCAAGCAAATTATGGTGCTTTTGCTGCCATTCTTGAATCTGGTGCTGTTGTGACCTGGGGTGATCCAGAAGAAGGCGGAGACAGCAGCCAGGTGCAAGAGCAGCTGAGGAACGTCCAGCACCTCCAAGCATGATCCATCTTGCAGCGCAGACAGCAGCCAGGTCCGGTGCACGAGCAGCTGAGGAATGTCCAACACATCCATGCAACTGGCAGTGCTTTTGCTGCAATTTTTGAATCTGGACCTGTCAACAGTTCCACTCTTCGTATCGCACTCCAGAAAAGACACATATGACAATACCAACGTGTCAACATCTTTAGTGCCGGCCCACTTAATTACATCAAAGCGGCTCAATCGAAGAGTTCCCAATGACGTTCCAGTTGAAATCACCTTCAACAGAAACGACCCAATGGGAATCCGAGGTGAATCCCCTCGCTTCAACTCGGTTCAGGGAAGTCGTTGGTTAGCTCCAGACGCGAGAAACGCAAAAAAAAACACTTCGCTTGGAACCCGTTCGCTATGGTTCCCAGCCATCCGGTTCGCGGCTGGTTTTTGTTTAGGTTTGCGGTTGTGGTATCCAAACCACTAAACCACTAAAAAACCCAGAGATATGGTAAAGTGGTCAATGGTAAAAAGGGCAACTGCTGATGCCAGCGGTAGGTGGTCTGAATGGGAGGAAAAGTTGAACTGCTAGCAGGAAATCCGGGAACAGCCCAGTTAAGAATATGTGGTATTTCACCTCTTTACGTAAGTCAACGAGGTGCAGCCGCACTGTTTGGACCTTTTGGTTTCCTTTGCTTGGCCCTTTAACCACCATTTGCTGAAATGAAGTGAGAAGGAGTCCCCAAAACGAGGTGTTTAAGAGTGGATGCCTTGTTGGGCGTTCTGTCCCTTTTCTTCCACTTGCTGAAATGAATTATGTTTCCCCTCTTCGTGTTTCAAGGATTTCGTATCCGGGCATATTGCTATGTTTTGTCCACACTTATATAAGCAACTGTAAGCTTCGCCCCAGAATCGGAGGACACAAATTTCCCAATGTCATGGAAGGAACAGCATACCCCCTACTCCAAATACCCTCTTTTTCTAGGGTATAATGTCGACCCTCTACTAAAAAAGGAGGTATTTGCGGTATTTGGAGTAGGGGGTATGTTAACTTGACTCATGTGAGCAGCCAAGAGTACCAGGCAATTGGTTTCTGGTCCCCAATCCGTTTATCCAGAATGGGTAATGCCTCGGAATTGCATGGCCCTCCCCTCCCTCCCCCGCAGCTCCCATGAGAACAGGGCCGGGCATTCTTGCCAGCCCCATTGTTTCACTATCTAAGGCACCCCCGTTCAGGCGTAGGTTAAAGGGCAACTACCGATTCCAGTGTCTGACTTTTGACAACCCTCAGAAACAATCAAAATCATGAGCTGAGTTCTCTAGAAAACGGTTTGCAGAGGCCCCTGTTTTTCTTTAGTGATCGTTTAATACTCTTTTAATATCCAGGGGTGGCTCCACAGATTCGCCACATCCAAATCGGTTTCTAGTTCTTGTGTTTGAGAGACCTCCCTGAGTAATAGGGGCGTGGGCCACAACAACTTCCTTTGCAACAGGAAGTCCAAGTTTCCATCAGTTTCTACACCCAGGAACTTCACTGGCTCCATAGTTTTTAGGCTTTGCGTGTTGTTGTTGGTAAAATGGCTAGGGGGGGGGGGGCTGCAAATAAGAACGCTCCATATATATATATATATATATGCTAAGACCCCCTCCCAATACCAAGGCTTTTGCTTCATTTGAAGCATGGGGCACATGATAGACGCTTTGCAGGGCCAGACGCAGAGGTGGCTTGCAGCAGATCAAGGAAACAGACAGTTTTTTTCTTTTTTCCGGGGACAGATGTCAGACACTAGATACTTGTCTATCGCGGACAGATGTTGCATCAAAGAAGACGACAGTGTGCACCCAGCTTGCACAGCATATTTTTCCATCTGTGATCATAGCGTGTCAGACTGCAAGCTGTGCATCTACCAGATTCTGTCAGCGTACCAAGCACACAGCTTTCCTGTGTGGACCCACAAATCATCGCACCTGTGCCAGTACTCATACTGAGCACTGCGAAGCTTTGCTTGCAACATGCTCGACCCAGCCTTGGTCGCGCCGTTCAAGGAGATTCTCTCCTTGAGGAAACGCCAGCAACGATCGATCACTTGAGTGCCAGACTTGACTTTGAGGACCTTGCCACCCAGGAGCTTATGGCGGACAAGCTGGCAATACTTGAGTCTGCCAGACCCACTTCTCGCCCTTCTTCACGCGCTTTTTGCAATGCACAACTCGGTCGTGCGCCACGCCGGGAACCTTCAGCTTGTATGCCCGGGCCGAGTCCGTGTGGAGCACCACCTTCCGGTCCTGCAAGTGTTTTCGGGCGATGTGGGTCCACTCGAGTTTTCGAATGGGCCCTGGGCCGGGGGCGCGCCGATGGGTCAGCTTCGGGTTCAACTTGATCAGCACCAGTGTCTCAGGACGACCGCGCTGCACACTTCCACGCCATTCCTCCCACATGATGCACTTGCTCTTGTTGCCCTTGAGATCCTTGGAGATGTCTTGCTTGTCGAAAGTCGCATTTCATACCAAGCCCAAACTTGATCTTCTTCTCTTGCTCACTAACCCATCGCTGACGAAGGCGGCAGATGCGTTGCCCATGTCCTCAATCGCCTTGTGGCTGACATGCCGAGGTTCGGGTCGTCCAGCAGAACTGGTACATGAACTTCGCCTGGTCGCTCCCGGAAGCCTTTGACCGCCTCCATCCCGGCACGCAGCCATGCAAGTTCCGCCTCGATCATGTGCCGGGCAATTGACAGAGACAGGATGATTGCAGTAGGTGTCTTGCCTACTCCAGGGCGCCCAAGGAGCATAAGGCCATAGGATGAGAGAACTGGAAGCCCCTGTTCAAATCCTTCAAGAGCAAAGGAAAGAACCATTCTGGTCCTGCTTGGCAATTGCAAGTAACTCTGTTCTGGCACGCCGTCTGGACAACATGGGATGGCCATCCGTAGCTGGGGGACTGAGCATCCCGGACGTTGAGCAGGACTTGAAGGAATTGCTCGTTCTTGGCGTTCGCCAAGGGGGCGTGCTTGTTGATGAGCTGAATGCACGCCTTGAGCTCGTCTGTGCTAGGGCTCCAGTTCTTGGAGTCTTTGTCACCTTGGGTTGCAGGAGAAAGAGCAGGATTTTCAGTCAAGACTTGTCGTACCCATTGGTCACCTGGGATCTGTGGCATCATGTGCAAGAAGGCCTTCTTCGCAGAATCAGACTTGCTTGCCAAGGCGTAGTTGATGAGCGACACCGGGCCGAGGCAGAGAACTTTGGCAAGACCAATCGGAATGGGGACCTTCGAGTGGAAGAACTGCAGGACGATGTGAGTGCCATTTTGAGCTGTGGACATGATGAGCTGCAAGGTAGGTGTACTCGAGTTGGATCACTTTGATGATCTGTTCTCCATCTCCAAGCGACACGTTGCGCACAATGCTAAAGAACTCCTTGAACTTCTTGCCTTTGCCGGCGACAGGCACGAGGGGGAGATCATCAATGCCGAACGTGCCGTTGTCAAGGTGACGTGTTTCCATTCCGACAAGTAGTTGGTTTTCCTGCACGAGACCTCTGCCAGGCACTGGTCCATTGGCAATTAACAAAGCAGACGGGGGAGGCGCAGGAAAAGCAAAAGAGCAAGAGCACTAATTTAGCAGATTCAGCACACAATTCTTTGTTGATTTTGGATGGTGTCAGATTCACGCATGACAACATGCAACATGAGCACGTGCAATGTGTACCGGGCAAAACTCATCGAACTTGTAGCACCTTGCGGCTGCCTCTATCTACAAGGACTGCAGCACCTCCTGTACCTGCTGCTGGGCCGCGCGTAGCCGCGCCATGCACTCATGATCAGGGTAGCTGTTCCGCAGCACTTGGCTAGCCTCTTCCAAGTTGCCTATGACCATCCGCATTTTGTTCTTGCGAGGCTCACTCCCAATCGTGCCCCCGTCCTTGGCATTCTCTGTGCTCTCGGGGTTGCCCTCCACGCTGACGTTGCCATGGCCGCCCTCAGCCTTGTCCTCGGCATCCTTCGTGCCCTCGGTGTTGGAGCTGTAGACGAGCTGTCTGTGTTGTCGGAGCTGTCTTCGCAAGTCGAATCGCTATCCTCTTTGTCGCAAAGTGCGAGGGGTGGTTCTTGATGAAAGCCCTGCGGAGCAGTCCGGAGCCATGCCTCCAGTTTGTTGCCAGCAGCCTCTGACCATTGGCCTTTGAGGCCAGGGCGCAGCAGTAAGGACCGCTGAACGGCTCCAACCTCACTCTGGAGCCGTTTTGGGTTTTGCTGAAGCCACTGTAGGCGAGCCGCATGACTCTGAAGAATGCCACGCTCGATGTCTTCGAAGACTGTGCTTTTGGTAGGCACCTTCTCGTTGTTCTCGGAGCGAGCTGCCGCCGGAAGGCTACATTGATCTGCTCAGGATCCGCTTTGATGCCCTCGAGATACCAGGCCATTGTAGTTATTAGCGCGGGAATGGGATAGGCTTGAACTTACCCGAGCCAGTAGCTGTTCATTAAACAGATTGAAATTGTGCATTGAAATGGTCTCAGAATCAGCATTCCCCGCAAATTTAGTTTATAAACTTCCAAGTCTGGTTTATAAACTCTAAACTCTTGGACTCCTGGCAGTTGGATGAGCGGGAGGGGGGGTCTCTGGCAACTCTTGAAGGGGAGGGGGGGGGGAGGGGGAAGAGCCGCCCCCTCGCGATTTGCCGCGGACCCCCCCCAAGAGTTTATAAACCAGACTTGGACGTTTATAAACTCCAACACTGAATTATAAATCAGTCAGTTTTGTGATCTATACTCATCCAATGACACATAACGACGACCAAGCACTTGTAGTAAGACATGTGTTCTGATCTTTAGCAGGGCCCCAACTCAACTCCAGGTTTTCCTCGAACAAGCGACTTTCTATACAAAAAAGCACGCAATGTACTGGGGGGGGGGTCCTACCACATATATATATATATATATACACCCATGGCCGAACTTGGGCGGATTCGGGCGGATTTCCCAGCATTAGGCCAGAACTAACGGTCGATAGACCCATAAACTAGGGGTTCATTATACCCCATATTTCCAAAAACCAACTTCTTTCAAGGTATTTTTTTGAAACACCTGGGTTTCTATGGTACATGCCGATCTTGAGGGTATTTGGAGTGGGGGTATAGTTCTACATCAGCCAACCGCTGTAGTAAACATCGATACGATTTCTGAAGCAGCAATTATCCAGCCGAAGATGCTTGGATAGTGTCTATTCAGGAAGCCCAAGTGACGTTTAGAAGGGGGTATTTGGAGGTTACGGGGGTAGGGGTTCATACATTCAGCCTTTCTCACAGCCAGGCAACTACACCCACTGCGGAGGCGCCCAACTGACAGTGGCACGTGCTGTTTTTTCTTCCTTTTCTGTTTGTTCTTCCTTTTGTTTCCGGATCTCGTGGTTTCCACGGGTCTTGCGTTTGCTCAAGAATATGTTGTTTCCCCCTGTTGGTTTTAAAGGGAACCTATGACTACTGTTTTTTTTTCCAGGGGGCGAAGAAGCAAATAGAAGAGGTTGGCTTGACTGTTGGCAGGCGTGCGTTCAGTTTTCTCTTGCTGCAAAAAGAAAGCGCCAGCTATTTCTGCCATTCTGGTTGTAGGGGCAGACTTGGGAAAGCTCAGCTTCTTTCACGGTTTATTTATCTGGCTGGTCAAAAAAATAGGGGCCCAAAATGGGACCCTGGTAAATGGAAAAGTAGACTAACACCTGCGTAACCCTGGGTCTTTATTTTGGAGCCACCTGGAATCCTTGATGATCATCCCAAATGAAACATCCTGCGCCTAGCAACGGGGGCGTGTCTTTTGGTCAGAAAATGCGGGTGTTAGTTGCCCCTTGTTTATTTCCCGGAGAAGCCAACGGCTGTGATTGAAAATGCTTAAAAATGTTTTAACAGGGTTCTTCCATTTGCTTAAGAATATATTTGTTATTTTCCCCTGTTGGTTTTAGAGGGACTCCTTCACTACTGGACATATTTTCCCATTTTCCCAGGGGGCGAAAACGCAAATGGAAGGGCGTCACTTCCAAGAATCCGGGTTGCCCAGTTCTTTTTTTCCCTTGGATCAAAAAGCAACCGGCACTTTGCGCAATTTGTGACCTTCGGCAGAGCCACGGGTCCCAACCTTTTTTCAGTACAGCTTCCAATTGCAAAATGATACCATTTGTTTCAATAATCTTCCAGTTGGCGTGAAATGAATTCTATGACTACTGGGAATATGTGTCTGTTTGTTTTTTCTCCGGGAACTTAAGCAAATGGAGAAGGGTACAAGATTAATCCATTTTAACGCTTTGAAACTCTCTGACTTGTATGAGGTTTCGGGTTCCCTCTAGTTCCCAAAGCGTCACTGCACGAACACCCAACGACCCAGGTTTAACCCACTGTGGGCGAGACTAGGGCCCGCGAAGCCGTCCAATCGGATGGGCATGTTTCTTCTGCTTGTTGCACTCGCCAGTCACCTGGGCTCGCTCTTTTGAGCTGGTACCCTGCTTTTGTTTCAGGAGCCCACCGTTAAACCCCCAGAGTTCGGGGCGATCGGGTTCCTTGGGCCCCGTGTTGCTCCGGTTTCGTTTCCTCGGGCGTCCATTTTTTTTTCCGGTGAAGAACGGTCGGCCAAGAAAGGAAGAACTTTTTCAGCACGTCCGGTTCAACTTTTTTGTTTTGTCCCACTTTTTTTTTTTTTTGGGGGGGGGGGCGAATGGACAGCCATGAAAACGCTGGCTCCGCGGAATGTTGGGGGGGGGGGGGCGAATGGACAACCATGAAAACGCTGGCTCCGCGGAAAATTCTCTTGAGAGCTCTCTGGCTGAACTGAGCGGAACAACCCCGGCCATTGGGTTCTGAATGCCAAAACCTGAGTCGCTGGACCTGTTGCTGTGCCCGCACACACACACGAGGTGCGAGACTTACCACTTATACTCCTTTTTCTATTGTATGATGTCGACCGTCTACTAGAAAAGGAGGTATTTGCCACGGAAACCCAGGGTTTTCAAAACACACCCTAAACAAATTGGGTATTTGGAGTAGGGGGTTAATACTTGTTGGGAAGACCAGCATCGCGGTAAAACCGAAGTTGGAACTCTTTTTGGCCAATCCACGGAAGTGAGAAACAGTCGTTAAGGGTTATGTTCGATCAAGGACGCCAGATCTGTTCAACTCATCCAGCTCAATGGATGACAAGGCATCATTGCGCTGTTACGTTTGATGGTACATTTTTCTGGTTGCTCAGGACTGTGTTTGAACATTTCGTGGGGGGGTGTTTTTCCCTGGACTAGTATGGCTTTGGTGCATTTTGCTTGGATGTTAGGACTTTAACTTTTTGCCAACTAATGGGTTTTCCATCAAACCACTAAAAGTTAAACTTTTAGCAGGGGAGCAGAAAGCAACCGAGATGGAGTTTTGCGAATTGCAAACAATGCGCAAACTGGATGGCGACATTCCAAGTATCCAAACGAGTTGACTCCCATACCCCCTACTCCAAGTACCCACTTGTTTTAGGGTATTTGTTTGGAAAACCTGGTTTTCCATGGTAAATACCGATCCCTTTTTTAGTAGAGGGTTTACATGATACCAACTAAAAAAGGCCGGGTATTGGGTGGTTACGGGGTCTACTCACCAAGGCCCAAGGCAAACACCTGTTCCGTTCGATGTTTTCCTGTGGGGTGCGTCTTTTAGTAAAGGGCGGCTAGCTCCCCCAGTAGTGCCCTTTCTCATCTTTTTTTTTGGTTGGGAGGGTTCCCCTACTAAAAATAGACTACAGAAAAAATGGTACCAACTCAACGGGAGAACCTAGAGACTTCCCCAGAATTCGCTCCTTTTTTTGTGTTTCTTTTTGTTTTTGCTTTTTTGGTTGGTCCCTGTTTTTTTCCCACTCAGGCAAAAAAGATCTCATTTTTGGCTGGGGTCCTCTTCTTCCAGCCTAGGAGAGTGATCACCTCAAAAAAATATCTGGGCCCAACCCGGCCAGCGGAAAACGAAGCCTCCGCTCGGCCGATCCGTGGGAGGACTCGGCGAAGATTGCGCAGCTCCGGAAACAGCTCAGTACCGCGCTGCATCAGTTCTTCAGGAGAGCCGTCTGGCCTGTACTCTTGCTGGATCATGTTTTTGTGGGTTGTTTTTTGCTTCTGGTTCTGTTCAGTTTTAGGTTGGGGGTGCAACAAAAACAGTCAGTTCCTTGCAAGCGCATACCAAGGGTTGGCAAGTGGCGTCCTTGCCAACTTGCTTGATTAAAGGACACCAAGAGGAGTGTTGGGCCCCAAGTTGGGTGGCTCCAATTCCGGGCACGGGGTTCTTTTTGCCACCTTTTGTGAGAAAATTGGCGACCCCCTCAACAAATGCTTCACTACAAGGGGGTCCATCATTTTGCCACAGGTGGCAAAAAGAGACTTTCTTGGTTCCTTTTCTTTGGGAAGGGTCCCCTTTAAACTCAACCAACCGAAAAAAGGATGCCCATTTCTTTTCCCATGGAAAACTGGGCCTCCGAGGTTTTTTGCGTGCCTCCAGTTCCGATTCGCTCGCTCGCGCGTGGCTCGGGGCTCGCGCGCGCAGGAGCCGGTGGCCCATCGCGAAGGCGGACTGGACTCCTGAGGACTGGTTGGGGGTGTCGGGCGGGCAATGTGCCCAGCCGCCAGCTGGTGTCGTTTCCGCCCGTTTTTTTTTTGTTTTTTGTTTTTTTTGGGGGGGGGGGTTGGGGCTGCCTTGGGGCAAACCCCAGAAATAGGTTTTTTTTGGGGGGGGTTATGTTTTCCACGCACCAGGCAACAAATATCCCCTCTTTCTTGACTGCTATTGGGTTGGATCTTTAGACTTTAACTTTTTGGTTGAAACCAAGGGGTTCTCCACTAAACCCACAAAAAGCTAAACTTTTCGCAGAGGGATCAGCAGCAACCAAGTTGTTTCCACTGTTTTCCAGGTTTTGGGATTCCGATATCTTTAAACTCAACCCTTCCCAACAACGGATGCCCTTTTTCCCATGGAAATCCACTGGGCATCTGAGTATATGCTTCAGAATACGTTTGTATTTTGGCCGTGTCTTGCCCTGTTGGTTTCAATAGGAATCTATCACTGAAAATATGTTCTCATTTTTTTCCGGTGGTTGGTTGGAACCCTTATGGATTGAGGTGCCCTAGACACAGGGTGCTTCCCTTTTGTTTCCCCTTGGAGTTGTTGTTTCATGCCCCACCTTGTCTTTGAGGTGACCGAAGTGCCCCATCTTGTCTTTGCGCCTTAGGATTTTGTAGGCGTTTTTGAGGGTGTCCAGTCTGGACCGTGGCCACCCCATGTTTCCGGGTGATTCCCAAAACCGGCCGGTTCCTTAGGTTGGTTGTTGTTTTTTGTTACATACATTTGTGGTTCTTGCGTGTTTCGTAGCAGACATATTTGCTAGTCGGGCAAATTTTGCGGGAACGGGCGCAAATTTGGATTCGAGCATTTTAGCTATTGCGGCGGCTTCTCTCTTCTCATATAGTTTGTTGCGTGGAAACATGTGGAAACATTCCCGCAACACGGGCGCAACTACCTGCAAAACAATCGCAAATACACGCAAAACACACAAATCCTAATGATGTAACACTAGGTATTTTGCACGAAGCCTGTGTTCATGAGACGAGCGTTTTGTTTTTCCTTCGGGAACGATCACTTTTTGGATCCTTGGGCAAAAAGAGTTGGCCCGAGCCGTTTTTTTATTGATTTCTTTTTCGTGACACACATTTTTTTAGCCTAGGTCCCCCAGTAGTGCCCTCACTCCCTGAGTTCATGGACTTTATACTTTTTGGGAAGACCATTTTGGTGGTAAACAAAAAGTTTGGACTTTTTTGGCCAATCAACTCAGGAAGCGAGTGCCCTTGTACCCTTTTTGGTTGGGAGGGTTCCCCTACTAAAATAGACAAAACCGAAAAAGACGGCAGCCTTATTCTAACCTCCAAATCTGGAGGACCTAGTAACAAAGGAAGGTCCAGGGTGGCTGGGTGTCCAACCCACAAGTTAAACTTTTAGGGAATCAGAAAACAGACAGCCCATGTTTGGACCTACCCCCGACTAAAATAGGAGGTGGTTACCTTCAAGTTTTCCAGAAAACAACTATAGAAACAAGGTGGTATTTGGAGTGGGTGTTTGGGTATTTACCCACAAACATTTGGTATTCCTTTGGGTTTCCCGAAAAGAATATAGTTGCTGAAATGAAGATTCTTGCTACTTTCCCTTAAAGGCAATCGATGTCACGACATAGTTTCTCATTTCTTCCAGGCTTATTTTTCGCAAATGGAAGAGCAAGTGATACTCTTCCAAAGTGTCGGTGTTCCTTCGGCAGGCTCCTTAAAAGATCTCCATTTTGCCCATTTGAAACATGACATTTTCCACCAAAATAAAGGGACACCACCATTTACAAGTCGCAATGTTCAGGTGTATGCAAGAATCCCTGTTCGGGCTTCTCACAACCCACCAAAACCGGTACCTCAGGCACCCCTCACTCCTCCGGAAAAAAAAAAAGGCTCGAGTCAGCCACCAGTGAGCGGTGCTGATCCCAGTTGAGTGCCTTTTTTGTTTCTCCTTTTTTTGCGAAGGGTTCCCCTTTCAAGTCAACCAACCAAAAACTTCCATTTGTTGAAGAATATGTGTTTTTCCCTGTTGGTTTTAAAGGGAATCTATCACTACTGGACATATTTTATCATTTTTCCAGGGGGCGAAAACGCAAATGGAGGAAAACCATGTTTCTCCGTTTCTTGGGGAAGGGTTCCCCTTTTAAGTCCACCAACCTCGCCCTTCCCCTTAGTGGGACGGCTTGATTTTTGGTTTCGGCCAGGATGTGGGCTCCACTCTAATTAGGGGGGGGTGGGGTCTTGAGCAATGTGGCGGAACCAACACAAACAAAAGCGCTGATTCTTTTTCCCCAAAAAAGCGCATCCGAGGAACAGTTAAGAGTCAAGGGGGGTGGTCCCAAAAAAGGTGCTGAAGCTCCCTGAGTGAATTTAGGGAACCCTAAGAAACCCCAACTAGGTCGCCCAGAGCCCTACCCTTTTTCGGTTGGGAGTTACTGAAAACGACAGAAGCCATTGGGTTCCCATGGTCACTGAGCATGTGTAGCTGTGTTTCGCTGTAGGTTCTGCTCATTGGTAGGTTTGGGGGCCAGTTTGTTGCAATGCCATACTACGAGTTGTAAAGTAACCAAGGAACTGGTTACCCATTAAAAAAATGATGCAGTTTTCTTTGCCCCCACTGGGCTGAGTCGAGGAGATGGCGCGGGGCCTGGACCGTCCCACGGGGAACCGGAGCCTCGGGGAGTTCCAAGTGGACCTCTCCGCCCGGCGGCCGAGTCGGTCACGGGGAGGAAAGAAGCGACGGAGGGTGAGCCACCCAGAATTGGCCCACCCTTTTTGCTGTTTGTTTGTGTTCCACCCCCAGCTTTACCTACATTTTTTTTAATGTTTCGAGATATATATATATATACATATATATATATATATATTTGTCCGTTTGGACCATGAGTTACTGAAAATGGCTGTGGGTCAAAACCAATGGTACCATTTTGGGGTAGGTGCACCCATCCAGAATTAGTTCCCTTATTAGTTCCCTTCTTGTTTTTGCTTTTTTGGTTGGTTCTCTTTGTGTTCCACTCAGGCGAAAATGTTATTATTTTTGGCTGGGGTCCTCTTCTTCCTAGTTACCCAGAAATGGGCCAAAACAAATCCCAGATCCGGAAGCAAAGTCTGGAAAAGCGGCAGGTACCGGAGGCCCGTTGAAGCGCGGAGTTTGACGCGCGGGCTTTGGGGTTGGGAGACTTAGCCTCAGCTGGGCTATATATGTATCACTGCAACATGTGTTTATATATATATATATATATACATAGTTCAAGGGGAACACATACACTGGGCTCCTGAACAATGGAGGGTTGTCAACCCTTCCTCGGAAGGTTGCCTTGCTGCCCTTACACAGCCAAGATACCATTTCCATATATGCGGCTGGGTGCTACCGAGAGACAAGTCATCTATCCATTTTCGGTGAGGGGAAGTGCGCAGCCCAGGGTTCAGCCAACTCAAAACATCTATTCGTCAACTGCAACATATCCTCAGGTACCCCTTTGGGCTTGGATAAGTTTTCGATGCTGGAAGCCTTGGTTCTTTCAGAGGCTAGCCGGAGAAGAAAAATAAAAGCTCCAAACCGCCGATTCGGCGGTTTTCTAGCCCACCAATCGGAGGAAAGCGAAGTAAACTCAGAGTTGATAGACCACAGGTACCCTCCCGGCAACGAAGGTGGAAGTGCAAGGCCAACTCACGAGGGAAGGAGTCCTTCGACAGGGGTCGGTGCACAAACCCATGGCTGGTGGGGTAGTTATGCGCCAAAGAAGTTGTTCAGATTCATGCAAAGCTGGGAAAAAGAAGTATATAGGCAAAGGGCTTGAACCAGCCGATATGAAACCAAAAGGAAGACAGATCAGCTGACCAGTTGCCATAGTCCACTGCGTTACCATTGTGCTCAAATGGAAGAGGGTGTTGAAAACTCATCTATAAAGAGATAGTACTCGCGCAAAACGCTTGAGAAAGCTGGATTTCGTTTGGACTGCTTAGAAGGGCAACCACAAAGACACCCCCCTTCTTCCGGGGGGGGCAAGGCTCCTTGTTTGGTTTCCTTTAGGGAAACCAACGGAAAACCCCAGACATATGTGGGGCAGCCCAAGTTTTGAGAAACGCCTTTTTTGTGTGGGTCTCTTTTACGGGGACCCCTTAAAACATTGTGGCTTTCCTTTTTCGATTTACCTTTAAAATTCCACAGAACAGCAAATACCCTCAAAACCGACATCCCCCCATGTCGGCTTTCCTTTTTCCGGCGCTTCCAGGCAAGCCATCAAAGCAGATAACCAGGGGTTCGCCATCATGGAAAGCCTACCCCCTACTCCAAATACCCAAGCTTTTTAGGGTATGTTTTGAAAACCCTAGGTTTCCATGGCAAACACCTCCTTTTTTAGTAGAGGGTCGACCTCATACCCTAGAAAAAGGCCGGGTATTTGGAGGTTACGGGGGTAGAGCTAAGAAGCCGGAAGGCTTAGCTATCGGCCTTTGGACACGTTTTGTCTGCCTGGGCCCGAAAGAACTACCAACTCAACCAAGTGATGGCACCCCAAAGTTGTGGTTGGCGAAATCCCGTTTTTGAGTTTGTTTGAGGGTCCAGGTGGTTCCTTTGGGCAACTCAGCCGAGGGCAGCTCCAGCCGGCGTTGCTACGCGGAATCGGATTTTCGGCACCGAGTTGGGTTTGAACGCCTTCCAGGAGTCCGTCTGCCCGATCTCTGACGTCATGGGGCTTCGTGACAGCGCCCAAGCGCCAAAAAGGCTGCGCAAAGCGCAAGCCCCAGCCCCAAGCCAGAGCCCCCTCCCCCTCCCCGCCCCCCCCGGGCTGCCAGGACAGCCACTGGCGCCGAAAGCTTGAACGCTTGATCTCGCTTGGCTTCTGCTTGGCTTCGTCGCACGTTAGCCGAGCCAAGTTGGTACCGCCCACAATCTTGCAGCTGGCAGCCATGGCCCAGGGAGTCCAAAGGCCTGAGTTACGGAGGCCGTTTAAACACTTGTTTTTTTCCTTCTTTTTTTTACGGCCTTTTTACGGGGTCTCTACGGCCGTTGACAAAAGGCGTAAGTTCCCAGAGCTTCCTAGGCCTGAGTAACTTAGGCCTTTTGTCAACGGCCGTAGACACCCGTAAAAAGGCCGTAAAAAGCCCGTAAAAAGGCCGTAAACAACCAACCCGTGTTTAAACCGCCTCCGTCACTCAATATCCTTTGGACTCCCTGGGACGTTACTCAGGCCTTTGGGAAGCTCGTGGTGATACTCTTCGCCATTCGCCAATTCGTAACAAGGTGAACACAAAAGCATACCCAGAGTGGGCGACGTGCCCATTGCCTGGTCCTTCCACGCTCGTGGGTCGCGTACAAGACTGCCTTTTGGCAGTGGATTTTTGCGAGCGGTGCTGAAGCTGAGCTTGATGCAACGGCTGGAACTCTGGAGGAAGGACTCTCCTCTTTCAGCCCTTGTGGAACGAGGGTTGCTGAAATAAAAATTTGTTATTCTCCCCTACTGGTTTTAAAGTACAAGAGAACTCACCGCTTTGCCATGAAGCCCGTCCCTTCCAAGCGGCCCGTCCGGCAGCTTGATGCTCGGCAAAGGTCGGCTCATTTGCTCAGCCACATTTCCCTCGGGTTTTGGGAAATGACCACTTTTGCCAAAAGGGCTTCCCAATGGCTATCACCCGATATAAAGGGGGAGAATCCCTGGTATCACTGGGTCCCCCAGTAGTGCCCGCTTACCTTTTTTTTGGGGAGGGTTCCCTACTAAAAATAAACTACAGAAAAACAAATCGGATAGCCTTATTCTAACCTCCAAAACTGGAGGACCTAGCAGAAGTGGGACTAAACCCCTTGATTCCCCAACCCTCTCGGTCCCAGTGGATCCCAGTCGAGCCCATTTTGGCAACCCGGAGAAGATCCTGTTGGCTGTTTAAACGAGTCGTTTGTTTTTGGGTGCACAAAAAACTGGATCCAGCTCTTGTTTTGGGGTTACCAAGTTACTCGTTTTTTGGAGTTCACCAAAAACTGGATCCACCTCCTCTTGGTTTTTGGGTTACTGAGTTACTATCACCCAGTGATGGGATCTGAATGGATCCACCCTGCGTCCGGTCGGAGGCTTCGGGTGTGCAGCGGGCTCGGTTTGAGAGCGTGACATCGGGCTTCGATCGAACTGCGATCCAGGGAAGGAGAAATTCTATGGGTTCAAGTTGATTCCCTGTCCTTTCTTTTCAACCCTCGTTCTTTCCAACAACCGGCCGTTTTGCAACTCGGTTTCCGGACATCTTCTAGGATCCCTAGAAGGAATGGGGAAGGTACCTCTAGAGAAACGGAAAATGCACCACATGGAATGACCCCAGATGATTCAACCACCATGTTCTTTTGAAAAGGGGGGGGCGGTTTTTGTTGGCCCCCTCTAAAAGTGAATCAACCAACCAGTTGTTTTTTTGATCCACCTGGGTGTTGGCTCTCCGCGGTTCGGCCCAGTTTGATCGATAGCCAGTGCCTGGCATCCAACGAACTCACATCGATCTCCAAATTAACGCCTTTCACAAACAGCTTAAATGGTTGGATGTATGTTTTCAGGGTACCCTAAAAAGGGGTTCCGTTTAAAAGCAAACCCCAAATGCCAGCTAGACAGATGGGAACAGTTCAGAGACAGGATCTTTGCTGAGGTTGTATCCCAGAATTTGAACCGCAAAGGGTTGGGATTTCCTGAGATACATGTTTCCAAATTCTGCGCCATGAAGGTGGATGTTCTCTTACCCAGTGGAGGTGGTTGCTCCATAGAAGTCTCGCCGGCGCAGCTTGCCAGCGAGCTCAAGGTTGCAGCGCAGCAGCATCTCCAGCGCCACTTGAAGCTGGTTGCGAAAGGCCGGCAGCTCGATTTGACAGCCACGCTGAGTGAGGCTGGCTTGCAAGATGGGGACGTGGTGCTTGCGATTGTGCAGCTTGGCAAACTGGCTGCATCTGATAGAGCATTTGCTTTGTGTGGCCATGGGCCCGAAATTGTGACCTGGGGTGATCCAACGTGTGGCGGAGACAGCAGCCACGTGCAAGAGCAGCTGCAGAACGTCCAGCACATCCAAGCAAACTGCTGTGCTTTTGCTGCTATTGTTGAATCTGGGGCTGTTGTGACCTGGGGGCGCAGAGGGCTTGGCGGAGACAGCAGCCAGGTGCAAAAGCACCTGAGGAACGTCCAGCGCATCCAAGCAACCCAGCGAGCTTTCGCTGCCATTCTTGAATCTGGCGCTGTTGTGACCTGGGGTGATCCAACGTGTGGCGGAGACAGCAGCCAGGTGCAAGAGCAGCTGCAGAACGTCCAGCACATCCAAGCAAACCACTGTGCTTTTGCTGCCATTCTTGAATCTGGGGCTGTTGTGACCTGGGGTGATCCAGAAGAAGGCGGAGACAGCAGCCAGGTGCAAGAGCAGCTGAGGAACGTCCAGCACATCCAAGCAACTGACCGGGCTTTCGCTGCCATTCTTGAATCTGGGGCTGTCGTGACCTGGGGTGATCCAGACTTTGGCGCAGACAGCAGCCAGGTGCAAGAGCAGCTGCAGAACGTCCAGCACATCCAAGCAAATTACTGTGCTTTTGCTGCCATTCTTGAATCTGGGGCTGTTGTGACCTGGGGTGATCCAACGTGTGGCGGAGACAGCAGCCAGGTGCAAGAGCAGCTGCAGAACGTCCAGCACATCCAAGCAACTCACCATGCTTTTGCTGCCATTCTTGAATCTGGGGCAGTGGTGACCTGGGGTCACAGAGGGGTTGGCGGAGACAGCAGCCGGGTGCAAGAGCAGCTGCAGAACGTCCAGCACATCCAAGCAACTCACCATGCTTTTGCTGCCATTCTTGAATCTGGGGCAGTGGTGACCTGGGGTCACAGAGGGGTTGGCGGAGACAGCAGCCGGGTGCAAGAGCAGCTGCAGAACGTCCAGCACATCCAAGCAACTCACCATGCTTTTGCTGCCATTCTTGAATCTGGGGCAGTGGTGACCTGGGGTCACAGAGGGGTTGGCGGAGACAGCAGCCGGGTGCAAGAGCAGCTGCAGAACGTCCAGCACATCCAAGCAAACCACTGTGCTGTTGCTGCCATTCTTGAATCTGGGGCTGTCGTGACCTGGGGTGATCCAGACTTTGGCGCAGACAGCAGCCAGGTGCAAGAGCTTAGCTTGAATCTGCTGCAAAGTCCAGAGGTCAGAGGTATGCCATTTGAGATCATATCAACAAAAAACCTTCACTTGTGTCACTGGGAAACAGTTCAAACAAAAAATCAAGTTGATGCCCCTTTTGGGATCAACTTTTTGATCAGGTGGTAGCTTGCTTCGAGTCGTGAGGGAATGTCCCCAACCATCCTGGTGGTTTCCTAGGGAATCGTTTGAATTCGGCACAAGAAGTGTTTCGGGGTTCCACACTTCTGACCTCTCCATTTGCAACAACGGCAACCAAACATGTCCAGGAATTTCAGTTGAACATGTCCATTTGGCCAAAGGAATTTCAAAAACATGTGGCTCAAGTGAGACACAATCGAAGCCTGGTATTAAGATGGTCTACCATGCTGCAAGAATAAACAAAGGCTGGGATATTCAAAACCAGGGTTGTGGGATCAAGGGGTTTATCTCCACTTCTCTGATTCAAGGGAATCTCCCTCTTTGTATGAGGGTTCGTCTTTGGGAAGCCCTTTCTGTTGTATCACAGAAGTGGTCATTTTCCACAGCCCTGTTCAAAACCATTCGGATCATCTAACTCCCGACTCGGTTTTGAAGACGCGGCAGTTTGGAGAAGCCCACATTGGAAGCATAACTTGCTGTAGGGGGAATGAGAAATGGAAAATGACCCCCAGATATTCCATCCAACTGGTGGTTCCTGAAGAAGAATCCTTGGGTTCATTCAACCACATTCCCTGAGAGCAAAAGGGGACATGGGCCCAACCAGAGTTTGTCTCCTGAGCTGCTTGGAAGGAAGGCAATTTGCCGGGACCCTCTGTTGACTCTCGGCCTTTTGACCGAAGCCCCCTTTGTCGGCACTGTGCTTGGTTTCGGTAGAGGCAGTTTTGGTGGATGCAGCTGTACGTCTCGAGCCATCAACACCTGGTAGCAAAATGGTGCACCCAGGACCATGGAAAGAATCAACTTTTTACACCCAAGACCCGGCCTTTTTTTAGTTGGTATGATTGTCGACCCTCTACTAAACAAGCGATCGGTATTTGCCTTGTAAAACCGAAACCAGTTTTCCAAACAAATATCCCAGAAGAAGTGGGTCTTTGGAGGTTACGGGGGAACCGTTTGCAACCACATTGGTCGACTCCACATTTGCCAAAAAAAAAACAAAAAAGTCGCGGCCCCCGGCTTCCCCGGGCATCGAAAGGGAAAAGTCGCTCGACTTGGCTCGAGGCCGTACATCAACGCAGCCCGGATACCGGGCCTGGTGCCTGGCGTCTCTTTCGTCGCGCCTGGCGGCTCAGTCGAATCGATTCGACCGAAAGCCGAGCGTTTCCGCGCGGTCGTTTTTTCTCGTTTCCTCGAGGGTCCGAAATGTACCCCATACCAAGACCCGAGGCCTTTTTTGAGTTGGTATGATTTGTGGACCCTCTACTCAAAAAGGGATTGGTATTTACCTGGAAAAACCAGGTTTTCCAAAAAGTACCCTAAAAAACGTGGGTATTTGGAGTAGGGGGTACACCATATTTACGGCTTTGGGTTGGGTTCAAGGGCATTCGTCAATTACAGATTCTTCAAATTCTCAAATATGAAGTACTTGGACCCTCTGGGCTTGTGTCGCAGGAGCTCCCGGCAGGTACTTTTCCTCCCACCAGCCAACATGGGTTTGTGCACAGACCCCTACTTTCCTCTTGGTTGGCCATTTGCACTTCCATGTTAGTTGGTGGGAGGGCCTTCCTCCCACGAACAGAAGGCACCTGTGGGGAGGCACTTGCAAGAGAAATGTCCTCTTGAAGGGACCGGGACCCGAACGTCAGGTTCCATGTAAGTTGGTGGGAGAGCATCCCTTCTAACCTGAACTGAGTGGATCCTGGTGTTGTAGGTGAGGGAACCACCCGATGTAAATGGGTGTGGCTCAAAATTTAAGGGCTAGGGTTACGCAGATTTTGGTCTTTGTTTCCATCCAAGGGGCCCAAAAATGGGCTCCACTTTTTTGAGCCACAGTCAAATACCAACAGTAAAATTGCTGGTTTCGTTTTTGGGTAACAAGGATCCAGTGGGCACAATTTCAGCAGCCGTGGGTCAAAACCAATTGTTCCACTTTGGGGAAACACCAACACCAACAACAACCACAACAACAACAACAACAACAACAACAACAACAACAACAACAACAACCACAACCACAACCACAACCACAACCACAACCACAACCACAACCACAACAACAACAACCACAACGACGACGACGACGACGACGACGACGACGACGACGACGACGACGACGACGACAACAACAACAACAACAACAACAACAACAACAACAACAACAACAACAACAACAACAACGCAAACCAAAAAAATATAAATAAAACAGCAACAACAACAACACCAGCAACAACAACAACAACAACAACAACAACAACAACAACAACAACAACAACAACAACAACAACAACAACAACAACAACAACAACAACAACAACAACAACAACAACAACACAAACCAAAAAATATCAATAAAACAGCAACAACAACACCACAACAACAACAACAACAACAACAACAACAACAACAACAACAACAACAACGACCACGACCACGACAACGACAACGACAACGACAACGACAACGACAACGACAACGACAACGACAACGACAACGACAACGACAACGACAACGACAACGACAACAGCAACAACAACAACAACAACAACAACAACAACAACAACAACAACAAACAACAAACAACAACAACAACAAACAACACCAACAACAACAACAACACCAACAAACAACAACAACAACAACAACAACAACAACAACAACAACAACAACAAACAACAAACAAACAACAACAACAACAACAACAACAACAACAACAACAACAACAACAACAACAACAACAACAACAACAACAACAACAACGGCAACAACGGCAACAACGGCAACAACGACAACAATGCCAACAACGGCAACAACGGCAACAACGGCAACAATGGCAACAACGACAACAGCAACAGCAACAGCAACAGCAACAGCAACAGCAACAACAACAACAACAACAACAACAACAACAACAACAACAACAACAACAACAACAACAACAACAACAACAACAATACTAATAATAACAACAGAACGGCTGGGTGGTCCCTTGGTTTTCCGAAACCACCAAGAAAAAGGGCACCCTCAACAAGACACACCCATATTGTTGCTAAACAGCTAAACAACCGCACCCTACCTCTGAAGTATTGTCGACCCTTGATTTTGTTATACCACTCCCACTAATATTAGGTGCGTGTTTTGGCCCAAAAGCGCTGATTCCCATTTTAGCACATACCTTCCATGGTAAGTACCTCCTTATTTGGTGGAGGGTCGACATCACACCCAAATGTGTTTCTCAAGACTGAGAACCCTCCAGGTGGTTGTTTTCCTCTTGGTTTGCCTTCTCAGCAGGGCCTGTCCAGGAATCTCGAGGTTCATTCCCAACACCCGGAAGGTCATTCCCTACCTATCGCACCAGTAAGAAAAAGGGGCCTGGAGTCTCCATGACCCTTTAAAAATGGGTCCATGACCTCATTATTTTGAGTACTGACCAAATTTTGACAGGGTTTCCAAAAGCCCCCTTAAAAAACGGGTTTTTGGAGTAAGAGGTACCTATCGTGCCAGTAAGAAAAAGGGTTCCCCTATTTCGACACATCAGTTTCGAGTTGCCAGAGGACGCAGCATCCGCTGCCGAGTACCGTGGAGCACTTTTGGCACATGGTGCTGCAGTTGCAGCCCACCGTGATCGTCGGGCAGCCTAAGCTCGGAAGCCAGCTGAGAAAGCCCGCCAAAACTCTACCCCGTAACCACCCAATACCTTCATTTTTTAGTTGGCATGGTTTGTCGACCCTCTACTAAAAAAGGGATCGGCATTTACCATCGAAACCCAGGTTTTTCAAAATATACCTTGAACAATGTGGGTATTTGGAGTAGAGGGTAGGGGTACCCTCCATTTCCATTCTTTCTATTGATCCAATTGTTTCCAGAAAACCTCCAGAAACCCAGTTGGAAAACGGCAGATGTTTGAAAATAACGATGATTGAAAAGAATGGGGAATCAGCCCCTAGAAAAACATACGCCCTGCCTCCAAATACCTGTGCGGCCGCCTTCTTAATTCTTTACATGGTTCTTAATACCGGGTTTTGATTAGGACTCAAATGGGATCACGGCCAAACACTGAAAGTGCCGACCAATTCGCCGAGTGCTCCTGACTCCCAGTCGCCATGAACATGACACCCACGCTAACCTACCCCAAACCCACCCTAACATGGAGGCGGGAGTTGACATATACTCAGTTTTCAGTGGCACCCTTTTTCCCTTTTTTTTAGTGGCTGCCCCACTAAAAATAGTCTTCCCAATAAAGGGTTCCTTTTTTCCAGAGTCACTGAACAACTGAGTATATACTCCCACAAAGGTGGGATGAAAGAATCCCGAAGACAAGGGCGCCCCCCAGCAACTCCCTAGAAGAGACATAAAGAACCCAGAGTTACTTAACTGGGGCTCCATCAAAATGGCCTACAACCACGATCTCTAGTTTTTTAGAGTACCCCTTACTCCGAATACCCGCTTTTTCTAGGGTGTTAGTTGGAAAACCCGTTTTTTCAATTTTAATACCTCCTTTTTTAGTAGAGGGTCGACATCATACCCAAAGACAAGCGGGTATTTGGAGTAGGGGGTAAGATAAGATTGTGGTTCACTGACATTCAACGGAATCTCCGTGATCTCCGTGTACAAAACCTCCCCCCCCCCCACCCTCCCCGTTTGTGTGAGCCAAAAAAAGAGCGGCGAGGTGATGCTGAATGGCTCGGGGCTCAACCGCGAGAGTCGCGTTTGCATTTTTCCTCTCGTATCACGGGCCTGGGGGCTATTCCTCTAGGTTGCCAGCAATTGGTGCCCTTTTACCAATTCTGTTTTGGGAGAGATTCGGTTCCCCGACTAAAATAGACCACAGAAAAAGGGTACCCTTCTAGCTGTCTGGCCCAAATCCATTCAGCTCAGGGAGTAGGGCCCCCGGGGACCTGCCACACTCCATGGTGCGTTGGTCGTCCACCAAGCTGTGGTCTCTTTCCACAGTGCCCCGCTTTTCGTGCGCGGGGCCCCTAGCGGCCTCCCTGCTGTACCCGTTGTGCTTTGGTGGTGTCGCCCTTTCCCCTGGCTTGGTCTCTTTCGTTGATGGCTATCGTGTTGTCCTACTGGCAAGCCCCGATGAAGCGAACCATGCAGACCCGGCTTAATGCCGTGGATGCTTTGCTGACTACGCTTGTGGCCTGATGCCGTCAGCCCCTATTGGTGGCGCTCTGGTTTATGTTTCATCCTCACCGCGTTGAGTGCCAGATCTTTTCTCCACAGCGATGGCTGTGGTATGTGTCACTGGAGGGCACCTGTCCCTCCAGGCCTGTTCAGATGGTTGGGCATGCCCCTCCGTCAGCTGGCGCACTCGTCGCCCGCCCCGTGTCAAAAGGGTACCCTTATTCTAACCTCTCTAAATACTGAAGAACCTAGTCCTTGTTTGCCCAACAAGGCCTTAGCAAGGGCTTCTCCTGAGATCCTGGATAGCCCCACCGTAGCTCTCCCCAAAAGTGCATGATTGTATATCGGCTTCCGATTTGGCGATACTGTGGATGGACAAAATCCGTTCGCACCACTTCGAAACCACGGTTGCAAGCATGGTTTGCTGGCATGTACCGGGGGGATTCACATCCTTCCAGAAAAAAATCTGCACGGTGGCGCGAGAAGCGGAGTTCGCAAGACAGCTGATGGACTGGATCGTTGTCGCGGAACGGCCGAGGAACATTTCCTTGACCGGTTGAGGTCGTTACCGGGGACACTACCCCCTACTCCAAATACCCGGCCTTTTTTTAGGGTATCATGTCGACCCTCTACTAAAACAGGAGGTGGAAAACCAGGTTTTCCAAAACATACCCTATACAACGTGGGTATTTGGAGTAGGGGGTAGAACTAGCTGTGAAAGTTCTGAGTTCCATTTCGAGCTTCGTCACTTGTGGTTGGTTGCCATTTTGGTGGTAAATCAAAGTTTGGGGGTACCCTCCCACCAGCCAACATGAGTTTCAGCACAGATTCCTGTAGAAAGATTACTTTCTGGTTAGTTGGCCTTTTTGCCCTTCCATGATAGTTGGTGGGAGGGTACCTTGTTTGGTCCATCAACTCTGGAAGTAAGTTTACTTAGCTTTGATCTAATTGGTGGTTTTTCACCGCCGAATCGGCGGTTTGGAGGTTTGGGGATGGTTTCCTAGTCACCCTCTAAAAGAACCAAGGGTTCTAGCCGAAAACCTATCCAAGCCCACCAAAGGGGTACCTGAGGATATGTTGCAATTGACGAATAGATGTTTTGAGTTTGGTGAACCCTGGGCTGCGCACCTCCCCTAGATGATTTGTCTCTCGGTAGCACCCAGCTACCGCATATTTGGAAGTGGTATCTTGGCTGTGTAAAGGCAGCAAGGTGGCAACCTTCCGAGGATAAAGGGTTGACAACCCTCCATTGTTCAGGAGCCCACCCAGAGCTTCTCGGCCTGAGTAACTTAGGCCTTTTGTCAACGGCCGTAGACACCCCGTAAAAAGCCCGTAAAAAGGCCGTAAACACCCCGTAAAAAAGGCCGTAAAAAACCTCCGTGTTTAAACGGCCTCCGTAACTCAGGCCTTTGGACTCCCTGGGCCAGTGTATGTGTTCCCCTTGAACTATGTATATATATATATATATGTTGCAGTGATACTGATGGAACCTGGTCTTTCCTGCCTAAAAGTGCAACCATTGAAATGATGCATGTGCTTATCACGCAAAAGTGGTAGCTTATGGCAACCTATATCTTTCATTCTCTACGTGTGCCCCCCAACAAAGTGGTCGTTGAGTTCTCTTGGTCTGAAATTCTAACTTTTCTCATGGGCTCGGAGATTTAATCGGGCCATCGGTCAACGGTGGCTTCCTCATCCCCTTCCCGAGAGGGGCTGAGGAGTAGCGACAAACATACTGTGGATGGACGAACTCCGTTCGCACCAGGTTGAATCCAGGGTTGAAACCGTTGTATGTGCGTTGGGGAATACCACTTGCATTTCTTCGGCGGTGCGAAATGGATTTCGTCCATCAGTAGGGGTGCTTGGCAAAGTTGAGAGTGGGGAAGTCCCAAAAGGTTGGGTTTCCCTTAAACTTGGGAAATGGTTTCCCAAATGAGCCACAAGCAAAACCTGCGTAGATGCAGGTTAGTAAGGGGCAGTCCCAGCCGGAAATAATTAGTTTCAGCCGCCTTTGTAATGATTTACCTGGTTTTGGCTAGAACTTGACTACCGGCTTTTGATTGTGACTCAAATCTCCCAAAAAACATACGAATTGCACTTAACTCGGATTGCCGCTCACCGGGACTAAGCCGACTTGTTCTTGGTTCATTTCAGTCAAGGGAACCCAACGTCCGAGTTAAGTGCAAGAATTGCATGGCGGAACTCACTTTGGCATCCAGTTCCTTAGGCCCCCGGAAGCTCCAAATGACCCGAGGCCTTTTGGTGGGTCTCATTTGTCGGCCCTCTACTAAAAAAGGGATCGGTATTAACCCTGGAAAGACCGAAACCGGTGATCCCAAAAATGCCCTACAAAAAGTGGGTATTTGGAGTAGGGGCTAGTCTTAGGGTGTAGTGGGGGGGTTCTGTTTTGACCGACCAACAAGTTTTTTTCAACCTTTCGGGGGACAGCAGACGACCCAATTCTACTCACTTGCTTTGCGCTGAATTGGAATTAGGCGGTGAATTGGCGCTTAGTAACACTAAAACCACACTGGTCCCCAGTTGCTCTCCGATGGCAACAAAAGGTCACGACTTTGTCTAACCCTTTTCAATCTGCCCCCTACTCCAAATACCATTTTTTCTAGGGTACTTTTTGGGAAACCTGGCTTTCCATGGCAAATACCTCCTTTTTTAGTAGAGGGCCGGCATCATACCCTAGAAAAAGGCCGGGTATTGGGAGTAGGGGGTACTACAGCTGACTCCCTCAGTTTTCCGTTTCCGGGACTGCCGTTGGGTTAGGGGAGCAAAAGTTAGAACAACATAGCAGTTGAGTGGTTGGATTGCAACCACTAAACAACAATAAGCAAAATGTAAAATGTGTCCCAACAACAACCATGTTTTAGTAGCAATCACAAAGTCTGCTTGTTTTTCTTTCCCAATTCACTCAATCGGAAGCGAGAAGAAGTCCGCAAAAGCAGTTGTTTAAGAATGGATGCCTTGTTGGGCGTCCAAGCAACTTCCCTTGATATTAGATTCACAGTCCCTTTGCTTCCTTAAGATGCTAGAATATTCCATGTTCTTAAGAATGCTGTTGTTTGCCTTGTTTGTTTTAAAGGGACTTTAGCACTACTGGAATGGTGTTCATTTTCTTTAGGGTGCAAAAAAGCAAATTCAAGGTTGTTTCCTCAAGGTTCTCAAAGGCAAGCCCTGAACTGATGTTGTGCCCGCACGTATGAGTCTGTTTTCGTGCGTGAAAGACGAATCCAGCCAGGGGGATTGTCAGAGTGAAACACAACTTGCGCCTGAATCACAGCCCATTTTTTTGTTCCCAAAAGGATCCAAAACGCAGTGAGGATGTCTTTGATTTGTCCCGAACCAAACACGGGCTGGGATTTTAACAAGCCAAAAGGGGTGTGGCTTTATAAATATACCCTTCCTCCAACTAGCACGGCACCTGTGGGGAGGTACCTGGAAGATTCAGTTCCTTTTGAAGGGAGCCCCTGTCAGTTGCCATGTTGGTTGGAGGGAGGGTAACTTTCCCAGGGCTCCTTACAAGATCTCCATTTTGCAACCACTTGAAACATGTTGTTTTTTCAACACCAAAATAAAGAAATGGACACCGCCATGTACAAGTTGCAATGTTCAGGCCCTGAGCTTCCTCGGCCTGAGTAACTTAGGCCTTTTGTCAACGGCCGGTTTCGACACCCCGTTAAAAACGGCCGTAAAAAAATCCAACCCGTGTTTTTCTTCGGCCTCCGTAACTCGAAGCGGCCTTTGCACTCCCTGGGGGGTGGTTTTTCACGCCTCCGGATCCCTGCTTCCTGACCCGTGTGAGTGCGCGCCTTTTGCAAGGCCACAGCTCTTCAGAGGACCTTCAGGCCTTGTCGAATCGCAGATTTCGAGTTGCGGAAAGGCAGCGATTTTTGTTCCCCCCCTGGCTTTTCCGGCAAGCTTCGGCAAGTGGAACTGCCCCCGGAAGCTCCAAATACCCGGCCATTTTTTAGTTGGTATCATGTAAACCCTCTACTAAAAAAGGAGGTATTTACCATGGAAAACCGATCGGTTTTCCAAAAAATACCCTAAAAATAGTGGGCATTTGGAGTAGGGGGTGGACTTCAGACTTTGTGGGAGGACCGATATTGTAAATGCACAAAGTTCGACTTTGCTTTTTATGTCCAATCCGCTCGATCGGAGGTGAGTCGAAAACATTTGGAGTTCCATTGAAACCACACAAAACATATACCTGGAACCTCAAACTGCCCTTTAACATGTGTTATGGCCCAAAATTATATTTGTTTCTCACTCTTTTCCAGAGGGATCTTGGCAGCAACCAAGCCGAGTCGCTTTAGTCGCTGGATTTCTGGGCCGCATGCAACAAAAAAATGGCCAGCTGCGGTCGGAAACGAATCCTTTGCATCTCATGGCGGGTGTCCCCTTGGTTTCTTTTTTCGTTCGTGGAAAACAAAGAAAAACGGGGCCCTAAAAAAATGCGAAAACAAAAAAAGGGGGAGCGAATCCTCTGGGGAAGCTTCCATTTCCCCGTCTCACCAACCCAAAAGTACTGCCTGGGAGCGCACCAGCGAAGCCTGTCTGGTTCTTTGGCCATGGGTCAAAACCCAAACCGTAGTAGCCCCCAGTGAACATCCCAATCCAACCACTAGAATGGGTTCTAAAACGGGTGGTGAATTCACCTAATTCTGGGGAACAGTGGTTAACCCAGACGGGTTCCACTTGTCGAGGCGCTTCACTGAGCCTCGCCCTGTGGCTCGTCGTTTGCACAACGTTTACCCCCTCCAAATACCCGGCCCTTTTTTGGGTATGATTTGTCGACCCCCTACTAAAAAAAGAATCGGTGTTTACCGTGGAAAAGCGAAAACGTTGTTGTTTTTGTTTTTCAAAAATTACTAAAAAAAGATGGGTATTTGGAGGTTACGGGGGTAGAGGTTCCCCTTGAGACAGGCCCAGCTCCCCTCTAAAGTGGAAGAGGGGAACCGTTCGCGTCGCGAAAATGCCACTTGCTCCCTTCCCACCATGCAGTCGGGAAACATCAATGCGGGGAGCTTTTGCCCAACCCCGATGTTCAAAAACAATTAAAAGCCGAAGTTGAGCCGGACGATTTGCGCGTTTCCCGCAGTAAAGATCAAGGGGCCATGGAGACTCCAGGTAGAAACCACCCCCGTAACCTCCAAATACCCACTTTTGCTATAGGGTATTTTTTGGAAAGTCTGGTTTTGCAAGATAAATACCTCCTTTTTTAGTAGAGGGTCGACAGGATACCCTAACAAAAGTGGGGATTTGGAGTCGGGGGTAGCTTTAAGGCGAGTTCGCCATCCTTTTAGTGGTTCACGACAGGTTGGTTCATCAAACAAGTGTGTGTGTGTGTGTTTAAAGGAAACCCAAAGGGAAGTTACATGGGACTACCTCAACACATACCCATCTAGCCGTTGTTCCCAGGTCACGCATAGTTCCTGAGAGCGTTCAAGGCCGCATTGTAAGCAGGGCTCCTCAAAAGATATCCATTTTGCAACCAGTTGAAACATGTTGCTTTTTCAACACCAAAATAAAGAAATGGAACCCACCAGAAAACAAGTTGCAATGTTCAGGTGTATGTAAGGATCCCTGTTAAGGATGCCTTTGGCTGGGAAATCCAACGGGAAATTCGGTCGGTGGTGAGGGCTTCGGAACTTTCAAGGAGCGCCGAGGACAATACCTGGAAAGCCGTAAATGACCGTATGGTCACTTTCTTTGTGGCCTAAGCCGTATGGACGGAAACAAAAAGAAGAAACACGTCACATATGGGTTTCCAGGTAAGAATGGGTGGATTTTACTCTCCTGCTGGTTTTAAAGGGAATCTATCACTACTGGGCTCAGGGAAGAGAACGGTGGTTTTAGGATGACCTTCTGCGAGTGACCAACGAATCCTCTTCATGATGTCATCATACGGGTTGATTCGGATCTCACCACGCAGCAACATAGAAAGACGTCTTTCCATTCTCACACAACTCAGGAGCTAGCCATTTTCCCCTTGTATTTGAGAATCCTTCAACCCACACTCGAATTCTACACTCGACACCATCTTGGTGGCTCCCAGCCATCCGGTCCCTTAGCTTTTTGGATTATTTCAGTGTTTAGTGGTACTTTCCGTATTTAACCCACTAAAAGTTAGTCGCTTTTAGCGTGGGATCTGAGCGGGCAACGCAGGAAACCCACGAGGCCGCCGGGAAAGGTCAAGAACTGCGTCGTGCTTTGGCGGCCCGACGGCCCCTCGTTTTCGTCACGCGCGTGAGGACGGGTACGCCCTGGCGCCGTACTGGGAGCAAAGCTCGGTGCGGGGCTTCGACCTGGACATCCAGGAGCCAGAGTCGGCGTGTTTTTGTTTCTAGATCCCCCAGCTAGGTGCCCGTGTCTTGCCATTTTTTTGGTTGGGAGGGTTCCCCTACTAAAATAGACTACAGAAGAAAAAAAGAGGTTGGTAACCCTATTCTAACCTCTCTACTGGAGGACCTAGATTTTTTCTTCGGGGACCAGGGACTTCCCCCTGCCTGGGATGTGTTTCTGTTCTTTCTCTTCCGGCCAGGGGCTTACTTAAATATGTTCGAGTCGCCGAGTTAGGAAGTGGTGATCGCCGCCTGGGATATAACTTATAACCCACTACAAGGTTAACACCACCTTGGGGCACAAAAGTAGGTTATGACCTGGGTTGCCATCAACTTAAAGTCAGCCGAACACCCAAGTACCCACTTTTTTGGTATCACTTGTCAAGCCTTTACGAAGAAAGGGCTCGGTTTTTTTACCCCCGGGGAAACCGTCGAAGCCTTTCCTTTTTTTTTCCGGAGCCGGGCCCCGGAAAATGGAGTTCAACCGCCCCAATGGCTAGGGTCCCGTTGGAGCAGCATCGAGCTTGTCCACGCCGCCGCCTTTTTGGTTTTGTTTCACCTTCAAAAAGCACGAAAAGGACGCGCGCTCTGGCGTCTGCGTGAAAATAGGGATCTGCACCCCATGGTTTCCCTTGGGTTCCCCTTTGGTTTAAGCACCCCGTTTAGGTCGGGCGGGGGGGGGGGGGGGGTTTGGGGAGCAGAACACCTGAAAAAGAATCATCCCCGCAGACTCCTTGGAAGAACATGTCCCGAGGGTTGCTTGCCCCAAGCCCAATTTAGCTGAAGACAAGCCTTAGGTAATCGTTATAGCGTCTATAGGAACCCAACAATTGGTTTAATTGCGGTAACTGAATCCAAATTCCACTGTGTTTGCTCTGGGAACAATTCCTTCATTTCAACCGAAGCGCAGCCCCCAATGTTCGCCGTGGCTTTCCGCCGTGTCCGTTTGTGCGTGTTTCTCGAGGTGTTGGAAAGTAGGAGGCCATCCAACGGTATGGAGGCTATAATCTATATGTGGCTATCTAATTGGTACATGTTGTGGAGAGGTTATTGTACACCTCCTACTCCAAATACCCACTTTTTCTAGATATATATATATATATTTTTTACCCTGGTTTTCCAAGGTAAATACCACGTTTCAGTAGAGGGTCGAAATCATACCAACTAAAAAAAAGCCGGGGATTTGGAGTAAGGGGTAGAAGTTATATTATATATACCTTGCGACGCGCCGAAAAAACGACGCCCGCCCATTGCAGCTCACTCGTGACAGGAAGTTCGCCACGAGAAGGCGCGAGCCGAGAACCGGGAGCGTCGCCGGGACCTCACCGGAAACCCATTCACTGTCAGCTTTTCTCATCCCTTTCTGGTCTTTTATTGTTGACCAGAAGATAATCCTCAAATACACTTTCCCTATCTCTCACCGTCTCATCTAGAAATATTTTAACCAATACAAAATGAACAAAGAGAAAGATCAATACCATAGAAAGACCTTGATATCAACGAGGGGCTTACCCCAGTGGATCCCAGCTGCCCCCGGAACCTCCAAATACCCGATGCCTTTTTGTTGGGTATGATTTGTCGACCCTCTACTAACAAAAGGGATCGGTATTTTCCTTGAAAAACCAGGTCTTCCCAAAACATACCCTAGAAAGAGTGGTTATTTGGAGTACGGGGTAGCCACACTTGCAACCAGTAGGTTGCTTGCCCTTTTTCCGACCATTATTGGGGTTCTCTTTTTTTCCCAGGGAATTCTACTGGGCATTTGAGGATCTCTTCTTCCACTGTTCAAGGATTGCAACCCGCATTCTCGGAACGTCCTTTCAAAAACAATTCACAGGGCCACCCTTCGCATGCTTTTCTTGACTGCTATTGGGTTGGATCTTTAGACTTTAACTTTTTGGTTGACATCAAGTTGGGTTTTCCACTAAACCCACAAAAGTTAAACTTTTGTAGAGGGGTCAACAGCAACCAAGTTTTGTGTTGCCGCTCAGACAACATTGCGCCATGAAGATGAGTGTTCACTTGACCGAGATGGCTGTCACTGGACAGAGTTTCTCATCAGGGGGCTTCACCAAATTGAATGAACCAGGTCCCCCAGCAGTGTCAACTTTTACCAACTGTTTTTGCCGTGTCTAAATAGACTACAGCAAAAAGTTGATACCCTTATTCTAACCTCTCCACTGGAGGCCCTAGTGGCTGTCACAACTGGAAATAGTTTCTCATTGTCCCAGGCGGCTAGTATTTACCATAAAACACCCTAGAAAAAGTGCCACTGGAGGACCGAATGGAAGTAGAGCTCAAGTCGTTTTCCCTTTCACTCGGAAAAAAGAAGACTCCATCCCGGCTACACCTTGTTTCCTTCTTTGGGGAAGGGCTTCCCTTTAAAGTCAACCTACCAAAAAGGGATGCCCTTGTTTTCCCATGCAAATCCACTGGGCATTTGGGACCGTGCGAACAGCTGCAGGCGTCTGATTGCTGCGTGCGGATGCTGAGCTGCAAGCAGCGAGCTCGGACATGAGTTTGGTTTGGCTTCACTGTTCTTAGATCGAGTAGTTGTCCCCCCCTCCGTTGTTGGTTGTTTTTGTTATGTTTTTTTGTTATGTTTTTTTTGTTTGGTGTTTTTTTCGGTTGTTATTATGATCATTGTTTTTCTCCGTGTTTTGGTTGTTTGGTTCAACTTCCTTTTTAGTTGGGCTGCAAAACACAGTCAGTTTGTTGCAAGCCCATACCAAGGGTTGTGAAGTTGTACTAGGGTGTGCCTTGTTTTTAGAACTTCTGTACTAGGGTGTGCAGTTGTTTGTTGTTTGGTGACCCTCAATGAATGCGTGCGCCCTTGTTTTTCTTCTGTCCTCGCAGACCCGATTTTGAAGTTGGGTTTAAAGGGAAGCCCAAAGGGAAAACCTCATTTTTGAGGTTCCCCAATTTTCAGACAACCCCAGGGTTCTAAGAACTGAGTGCGCGTTGTCCTCAGGCGAGCGGAGCCTGAGTGCGTTGAACGGTCCGCTGTAGATTGGTTCGGGTTCTCAAAGTCAGCAACTGTCGGCCTTCTATTTGCTGAAATGAATGATTTACTTCAACAAATGTAACATGTGTCCTTGTTAGTTTTGTAGGCATTAAATTTCACTGGACATATGTTTAAGTTTGTTTTCATGTTTTCCCGGCGACAGAGGAAATGGAAGGGGGCGGCTTCATTTTAACATCTTTGTGTCAACCCTTGGGCGTTGGTATTCCAACGGAGCCAAGCAAAAAACAGCTGCCTGGACCGTCAAACTACCCTTATAAATTTAAGATTTGTTGGGAAACATTTTACATGTTTGCTTATTGTGGTTTCCTGGTTGAAATCCAACCACTTAACTGCTAACATTTAAATTGTTGCTCCCCTTCCAACAAAAGCCCTGTTGTTTCAGGTGGTTCCATCCACTTGCGTGGCTCCTGACTTCCCCCTACTCCAAAAACCCTGGTTTTTCTTGGGTATCATGTCGACCCTCTACCAAAAAGGAGGTATTTACCGTGGAAAACCAGGTTTTCCAACACATACCCTGAACAAAAACGAGTATTCGGAGTAAGGGGTAGATGTATCATGTCTGGTTCACCTGCCGATTCGATGGACATTTGCAAAGTCAGCGACTTCAGGTAGCGCATCACTAATAGTATGGTGGTTTGGACTTGGCAAAAGGAAACCTCCCGTTCTATTAGAGGGTTTTTGTGGGAAACCACCCCCTAACTCCAGACCACCAAACAAAACCACCAATCAGAGGGAGGCTGACAACCTCATTGTCGTACAAAAGTTTTTTCTTTGAGCACTCTCCAGGGGTTTCGCTTGAAACTCCTTTAGCACATTGGGGAAAGCATCCACAAGCGGTTGCATCAAAAAAGACAGTACCTGTTGGTCTGTTTCGGGTTTTATGGAGGGACGGGCCGCTGTCCCGAAACGATGCTAGCTCAAATTTGGAAAGGATTTGCTTAGGCTGTAATTGAACATAGACACATTTTTGAAAACTATATCCTAACTAAATTATATTCAACATTCCAATTCTAGTGAAAGTAGAATCCTATTTGGAAACCTGGAACCCCGAACGGCCACTTTTTTTTCGGTCAAAAGGCGTATTTGGCCTGTTTTTGCCCGTAAGGTTGTGTTTTTCGGTCATTTGCCTCATTTGCCCGTATTTGGCCGTATAAAGTATTGAAACAAACCGAAGAAACACGTATTTAGCCGTATGACCATTTTTTGGGGGCAAAGCCTTTTGACCTGCAAAAACAACCAGGCGAAATTATGAGGCGTTGGGGACCCACAATTGGCAATTTCGAGAATTTAAAACTCGAGATTTTAGATTTACCACCTTGAAACGTGGTTGGTGGACAGAACACACACCTAACTAGTGTCCACCAAAGGGCCAATGAAAAGTCATGCCCACCGGACGTTATTCTTGTCGGGGTAGACTTGATATGAATCAGCATCCGAAAGTGGGCTTTTCCCGAGATGTGCTAAGTACAGAGTTGGATGACCCATGTGTATATAATATATATATATATAGCACGTGTATGCATCAAATATATACGGGTGCAAATTCGGATGAGGCCCAATATCATAGCTTTTTTTTGGCTGGTGTTCCAAGTTGAAGCCACAAGTTGTTTTCACTGGTAGCAGTGCAACACGTGAAAATCACTTGGGTGAAATTTGGATATCCAACCGCATTTCACCTTTCTTCGCGTGTGATGTCCACCCTCTTCTGAAAAAGAAGGTATGTACCTCGCAAAAAGCAGGTTTTGCAAAAATGCGGTAACAAAACAGAGGGTTTTTGGCGAAGTACTTGCTGCCATCCGGTTCCACTTAGCTGTTCAGATCTTTTTAGTTGGTTGAGGAGGCTCCGTAACCGACAAGTCTCGCGGAGAGAACTGACAGCCCAGTCATTTGGCCTGGGGAGGAAGCAACCAATTGATTCGCCTTCCCCGTGAGCTCCACATACCCAACTTGTTTTTAAAGCTTGTATTTTTTGAATAACCTGGGTTTCCATGGTAAATACCTTCTTTTTTAGTAGAGGGTCGACAAATCATACCCGAAAAAAAAAAAAAAAAAAAAAAAAAAAATACTTGGAGTAGGGGAGTTTTCTTATTCCCTTCGAGGCCTTACCCCCCTAGCCTCCAAATACCCGATGCCTTTTTTCAGTTGGCATCATGTCGACCCTCTACTCAAAAAGAGATCAGGATTTACCATAAAAAAAGAAAAGAAAAACAATCGGTTTTCCCAAGAATACCAACTGAGAAAAAAAAGGCGGGTCTTTTGAGTAGGAGGTACTTGTAGTTTGGGCCCCCTCCCCCTCCCCCTCCCCCTCGAAACCCTTGTTCGTGAGGAAATGAAGGGGGATGTTCTGGCCGGCTGCACCCAAGCACCTTCAAGTGACAACCTATCTGCTTGGCTCGGAACCAGCCATCCGCAACTTAGCTTTGACTTAGCTTCTTGGCGTATCCAGTTGTGACATGGTGACCTAAGCACACAGTAACACGTCAGCGGCTATGGCGGGACCCGCCCGCTTCGCTGGGCATTTGAGGGGCCAAGCCTGAGGCGTGGGTCAAAGGCCTGGCAGGGCCCGCAGCTGGCGGTGCCCTGGTGGCGGGACCAGAGCGAGCCCGACTGGCACCTCTTCCTGGAGCCGGGATGCCCAGAGCGTGCTCAAAACCGATTCGGGGAGATGAAAGTTCTGGGTTCACCATTCCCCTTACACCCAATACCCACTTTTTTTAGGGTCTCATGTGGACCCTCTACTAAAAAAAAGTATTTACCTTGAAAAACCGATCGGTTTTCCAAAAAATACCCTTAAAAAAGTGGGTATTTGGAGTAGGGGGTTGTTGTACCGATCGGTTCTGATTGCTCAGCTTCAGCCGAGTCCTTGCTACCCCAACCTCATGGGGTTTCCCCAGCCACCCCAGCCTGTCATGGGTTCCTGCAAAGCCGCCGCCTTTTTTTTTGGCTCCAGCCGAGCCCGTGCCAAAAAACCAGGGCAACCCCCCACCGACCCTTCCACTATGGGTCAAGACTTAGCTATTTGAGTTGGGTTGCTTTTTGCTTTTTTGCAATGTGAGTTGGAGCCCTGTGTTGGTGTTCCATTATGGAAACCCGCCTACCCCATATGGTCAACACCTACCTATTTAAGTTGGTTACTCCTTGTTTTTTGTTGTGAATTGGAGCGCTTTGTTGGGCCGTTGTTTTATGGAAAGCCACAAAAGCACTGCAGTTTTGAGGGGTGCCCGAAGAGAAGACACACCCCTTTCAACTCTTCTTTGAGTCCATGGAATCTATTGGACTTCAACATGATACGGGTGTTCCTCAAAATGTTGGGCCTCTCCAACTTCCACTTGCTGAAAGGAATAGTTGTTTTCTGTTCCCCTGTTGGCTTCAGCCATCCGGCTCACCTTAGCTTTTTTTTGGATTCTTTGGGTGTTTCGTGGCAGTTTCCGTATTTAACCCACTAAAAGTGAGTCACTTTTTGCGGGGGCTCTGAGGGCAGCCCAGTTTACACCAGTTTGGCGACTTCTTCTGGCCCATCTGCGAGGGCTTTGCTTGCGGATTTGGCCTGAGGCTGAACAAGCTGCCTGGCGCCCAAGAGATGTCTCCGGCCGAAATGGGTGTCCCCAGGGAGTCCAAAGGCAGTTTCGAGTTACAGAGGCCGTTTAAACACGGGTTGGTTGTTTACGTTGCCTTTTTATAGTTTACCTCTCCTTTTTGCGGGCTTTTGACGTCGCCTTTTTACGGGGTGTTGAAACCGGCCGTTGACAAAAGTTGCCTAAGTTACGGCCCTTCGGAAGCTCTGGGATGGGTTAAGGTCAAACCAAACTCGGTTCAGCCCAGGATCCCAGGGTTGCATTGACGCATTGACCGAGTTGTCTGACCGCTGAAATGAAGTTTGGTGTGGGTGGTTGCGAAATCCAGAAATCGCACCACCGTTCAGAAACCTGGGGAATGAGTCGATTCCCCAACGTAAATACCGGAAGAAAAAAAAAAAAAACATGGTCCTCCATTGTTTCTTGAGCGGTGCAGGATCTTGTCCATCCACAGTATGTTTGCATGGTACCCTTGTTGGGGTTGGTTTGAAGGGAAACCAAAGGGACACGACCATTCTTGTTGGGATGGGTTGCCCCAAAAACAGACCCCATTGGCCGAAAGGTTGTTTTCGTTCTTATGTTTTCCCTGCTAATTTTAAAGGGAATCGGTTTCACTGGACATATGTTCTTGTTTTTTTCCAACCGAAAAAGCAAGAATGGAGACTAGGTTAGGGTATAGGCTTGGATGCGCGGAGCACCAGATGTACCCTCTAGTAACTACCTGGAGCCCCGAAACGCCACTTTTTTTCGGTCAAAAGGCATATTTGGCATGTTTTTACCCGAAAGGTTGTTTTTTTGGGTCATTTGCTTTAGTTGCCCGTATTTGGCCGTATAAAACCCATATTTTGTCGATAAAATATTGAACAAAAAGCGAAGGAAATCGTATTTGGCCGTATGACCACTTTTTTCGGGCAACGCCTTTTGACCAAAAAAAAGGAGTGTGTTGGGGCCCCAGGTAAGGGATATTGGTTTCTTCCCTGGAAAGCCGATCGGTATTGGTGTAGGTGATTGTTTGCCGCTGGATCCAGAATCTCAGGTTTGATCCCCCATTCTCTTCAGCCATCGTTCTCTTTAGAACCCCCCCCATTTTTTCCGATTCAAGGGTTTGGCCCCTTTTTTTTGAAGAGAAGGTTCCGTGAAGAGAATGGGGTGCAGCTAGGGACAACAGGATTTCATCCATCATCAAAGGTCAAAAGTCATTAATCAAGGATCAAGGACCCGTTGAGAGCAATATGCCATCAAAAGCCAGCATTATAGACGGGCTCGGGGCAATAACCCCACGCATGTTCAGGTCGCACAGTTCAACCATGGGGACTTTCTCAAGCGCAGCTCAAATCAACCGGATACCCTTTTGGTAACCCCCGCCTTTTTTTGGCAGGGTTTAAAGGGAAACCAACAGAAAAGGCGGAATTCATTTTGGGGGATTCCGAATCCGAAAGAAACAAAATAAGCTCAGGTGATATCCCCAACAGCATGCCGAGCTCTTTTAGTCCTCGCACCACCCCGCAGCCTTCGCAGAACCTCGTGGAACCCTTGTGGAACCCTCGTGGAACCTTTCCTCAGGGCCGCCCCGAACCACCCTGGAGCCTATCTGGGCTGAGACCCCAAAGCTTTCAGCTGTTGGGGAAAAACATTTGGGCGAGCAAAAGTGAGAGACAGGATATTGACCGCAGGTTCTTCCATTTAAACCACTAAAAGTTAGTCCCTTTTAGCGGGATCTGAGGGCAGCCCAGGTAGAACAAGTGTTTCGTTTTGGTCAAAAAGTTTGGTTTTTGCCTTTTCCCCCCGACAGCTCCGGAACTTCCTCACAGCCTTGCCAAGTCACAGCTTTAATTTCTGGCAACTCACTGACCCTAGGGTTCCCAAAGCCCCCCTGAATACTTGCATGTTGTCGGGAAACATGTTTTACATGTTTGCTTCTTGTGGTTTGGTGGTTGAAATCCAACCACTTAACTGCTAAAATTTAAATTGTTGCTCCCTTTCCAACGTCAACCTGGCTTAAAAGAATGGCAACCAAGGGGACCCAATTTGGATGAAACTCCTGAAGGGTAAATGGTGGTAATATACTGTGGATGGACGAAATCCATTTCGCACCACCCAATCATCCCTGGAATGATGCGAATCCCCCGGTAAATACCAACAAACAATGCGTTCATGCATGGTGTCAAACTGGTGCGAAATGGATTTTGTCCATCAACAGTATTCACCCAGCCTTCCCCCTACTCCAAATACCCGTCCTTTTCAGGGTATTTTTTGAGAACCCCAAACCGGTTTTTCCCACGGCAAGTACGACCCGTGTTTTTTTTTCCTGGGCGGACCACTCATAGCCCCCCCCAAAAAAAACCGGCCTTTGGCATTTGGAGCTTGGGGGTTGTTTGAATGGTGGCAGTTCTTCGCGGGCTCGGCTCGGCTCGGCGCCTTCCGTTGGGGTAGAGTTGGGATACAGAGCCAGGTGCTCAAAAACCCGATTTCCCGGGTAGATCCGGTTCAGGGACGATCCTTCCTGGCCATAGATCCGGCTTCTGAATTCCTGAAGCAGGGTTCTGGGTAGACCATGTTAGTACCAGGTGTTGATTGCGGCTCATTTTACCAGTTTACCAGTGACTCAAAGGGAAGCAAACAATAGAAGATACATTCTATATCTGGGCCTTAGTCTAATTGTGGTTTGGAGATTTGAACGGGCTGGCTTTTGTAGAGGCTAGATGGGGTTTACCCCTCAAATGCACCACCAAGCCACGCTCCAAAGCACCAACTGGAGGGAAGCTGAAAGAGGGGTGTCCCCTCCATGGTTGTTGTTGGGAAACATATCATATTTTTGCTTATTGCGGTTGAGTGGTTTAAATCCCGACTTAGCTGCTGAAATTTAAATGTTTGCTCCTCTTTCAACGTCAACCAAGCCTCTTGGATGTCCCCTCTGGGTATTGGCTCCTGACATCTGACACCCAGTGAAGCCTTCGCAGGCCGACTTGTTCGTTAGAGGTGCCAGCTTCTGAGTTTTTGTGGCCGCTTGGCAGGGTTGTGGAAAGGGAGTGATTCCCACTTCTGTGATACAGTTGGGAATCTTCTCCTTATGGGGTGTTAGTCTTTGGGGCTCGCCCTTTTTTTTTGTATTACAGAAGTGGATTCCATTTCCCGCAGCCCTGCCTCGGGCTCGTTCATTCAACGCTTTCGCTTTCTCGGCGGCTGTCGATGGAGCCAAGAGTGAGAAAGGGGAGCCCGATCCATTCGCAGGATCTCAGGTCCGCTCTCTCGGCTTCCGGAAAGGTGAGCCGATGGCCAAGACGGTCCTACCTTCTCAATTCGAATGATATTACCATCCTCGCTCTCAGCACTATGAAAAAACCACCGGCCGCTGCGAATCTCGGTGACTGAGCGAATCCTGTGCCCATAGGCTCAACACGAGTCGGAGACACACGGGATGGAATCAGCCGCTTGATTGCTTCTCACCTGATGCGCCCAGCTCGCGCGCTGTTTTAATTAGCCTCCCTCTACCCCCGACTCCAAATACCCACTTTTTTTAGAATATCACGTCGGCCCTCTACTAAAAAAGGGGCCGGTATTTAGCGTCGTGCTCGGGACGCGGTGGAGTCTTCAAGCTTCAACGGCTTCACCGCGTGACGAGAATGGCACGCAGGCGTCTGAGGGCGCGTCTCTTAACGGCTTTTGCGTCTGCTTGAGCGCAACCAAGGCAAAACCGCTCAGCTCCACGCGCGGCATGCGCAAAAAGCTTGTTAGCTTGTTAAAGTCTGCCGTGATTGCCCCCCCTTTAGCAATCCTTCCGAAGCTTTGCTGCAGCAACTTTTGCAGACAGTCCGCGGAGGAAAAGACCATGGAAGGGCACGGCCTCAAGACCCTTTCCCTAGACCCCCAATCAGTTGCATCCTTTAGTCAAGTCGACTGAGCGCCGCCCTGCTGAGGGTGGACAGCTTTCTCACACCTGGCAAGTCGCACTCTGTGCGGGGCGCTCAGCGCAAACTCAGCCAGACCTTCTCAGCTTTCCTTCCACAAGCAACACGATGAACTGTTGCAGAGGGTCTAAGGCCCTCCTCAGAAAAGGAAGGTTCAGTGCGCCCAGCAAACCCCGTTTCCAGAAGGGCCCATTTGTCTCCCGCAATCGTAAGCAGCTAAGATAACGCAAGGGCAAGCCCCCAACAAAGGAGTGAGTGACAGCGAGAGTGAGAGTGAGAGTGACAGTGAGTGTGAGTGTGAGTGTGAGTGTGAGTGCGAGGGTGTGTGTGTGTGAGTGTGTGGGTGAGAGTCAGAGTGAGGGAGTGAGAGTGAGAGTGAGAGTGAGCGCGAGAGTGAGAGCGAGGGATGAGTGTGAGTGCGGGTGTGTGAGTGTGTGAGTGTGTGAGTGTGTGAGTGTTGTGAGTGAGAGTGAGAGTGAGAGTGAGAGTGAGAGCGAGAGTGAAGTGAGGGTGAGGGGTGAGTGTGAGTGTGGGTGTGTGAGTGAGTGAGTGAGTGAGTGAGTGAGTGAGTGAGTGAGTGAGTGAGTGAGTGAGTGCGCGTGAGTGAGTGAGTGAGTGAGTGAGTGAGTGAGTGAGTGAGTGAGTGAGTGAGTGAGTGAGTGAGTGAGTGAGTGAGTGAGTGAGTGAGTGAGTGAGTGAGTGAGTGAGTGAGTGAGTGAGTGAGTGAGTGAGTGAGTGAGTGAGTGAGTGAGTGAGTGAGTGAGTGAGTGAGTGAAGTTAAGCTGAGCTGAGCTGAGCTGAGCTGCGTTGAGTTGAGTTGAGTTGAGTGAGTGAGCTGAGGTGACGTGAGGTGAGGACATGTCAGGTGAGGTCAGGTCAGGTCAGGTCAGCCAGGTTCGGCCAAGTCAGGTCAGGTGAGGCAAGGCGAGGTGAGTAAGAGAGCGAGTGAGATAACGAGTGACTTAGGCCGGGAAAGCGGTTTCGTTCTAAGCCCTGCACGAGGCATATCCGTTTCATATTCGGGTGTGTTTGAAATGGTCCCCCGGGGAGAGCCATCAATATTAGGGTCCCCTTTCAGGTCAGTGGCTTAGTTGGTGACTAGCAACAATGACCCCGGGGTGTGGGAATGAACCCAGGGTTGCCTTTAAAGCAAACTGCAAGGGATACCTCAAAATCAGCAAGATAACGGGGGGGAAACGGTAGCGCTATGCCCTGTGCAGCAAGCTTTTGGAAGATAGACCTTTTGGACCAGGCGAGGCCCCTATCCGAACAGCCCCGGCAAGGCCACAAATTATTCCATTTGCTTTGGAATGTTGATTATTTTCCCCTGTTGGTTTTAAAGGGACTCTATGACTACTGGAAATATTTATCCAGGGCTTAAGCACATGAAAGAATTTCAAAGACATTTGGAACCCAAACCCGGAACGGGCCAACTCCCAAGACAAAACAGTTACACCCTGGTTTGCCAACCTTTTGAGTTGCTCAGTATGCAACAACGTTGGACTCAGGTTTTGCCCACGTTCTCGGGATTTCTCAAAAAGTGGGGTCTAGAAGTTCTGGACGGATAACTGTGCAAGGCAATTCTCAACCAGACAGTATGGCAGAATTAAAAGGAAGACCAGCACACGATTCCTATGAAGATACCTGGAAACCCATGTATGACGTTTTTCTTTTTTTCTGTCCATACGGTTTGGGCCACTTTTTAAGTGGCCATATGGTCATTTACGGCTGACAACAACAATTTGTCGAACAAATGCGGGTTGCATACGGCCAAATACGACCACCAGCCAGAAAAATATGTCCATACGGGAAAAACGATCCAAATACGGGTTCCGTCCAAAAAGGAAATGGCCATACGGCTTTCCAGGTATTTGTATGTTAGGATTTGCTTGTGCCGCCAAACAACAAACAGTCAGCCGCATATATAGCCAAACAAGCGACAGACTTTCCCGCCCCTCTTTGTTCAAACCACCGCTGGCTCACACCATGAAAAAGAGGCTGTCAGAAGACAAGTTAGAGGCAATGCTGGGGATGCGGCAACTGCAGGCGACGCTGAGGATGCTACTGCGCGCAACACTAGCACAAGCACTACGCAAAATCAGCTCTTTGCATCTGCCGTGTAGTCCACCAAAGCCGTCCGGATTCGAGCGGCACCAATTTGAAACCGGACAACGCATGCTGCAAAGACGACGCATGCACCAGGGACCTAGGCCCCAAACTCGACACGAATTTAACCACCTTCAGACCAAAAAGAGGCCTCTCAAAAAGGCAAGGGTCGTGGGTAGCCGACCATTTCCTTTTCAGCTTCAGTGTGGTTTGCTCCAACAAAACACCGCACACTGGGTGTGCCTTTTGTTGGGGGTGACCTTTTTTGCGTGTGTTACAAAAAGGGGCCAATGGGACAACTATCATGTTGGGGGTTTCCACGGAATTTCATTGTCAGGTTTGTGCACTGCGCTGGTGGCATCGGACGAGCAGGCGGCCTGCTCGTCTCCTCGGGACGGGACACTGTGGTATCGCCACGGCTTGCTTGCCACCCCCAGCTAATATTAACCCCAGATGAATCAACTTTTGTTTGTGAATATGGGGGATGTCCCTGGTTTCAGTGGTGGATTTCTCAGTTTTAAAGGGGAACGCCCCTTATTAAAAACACTGGGGTTTGTCAATCTGGGGTCGATACCCAGCGGCTCCGTCCGCCCGGCTTCCCGTGACCCGAAATGTTGCAACCATGGATACCGCCCTTTAAAGCAAACCCCACCCAGGGCTTCCCAGTTACTTGTATAGTAGGTAACTGGGCTCCAGCGACGGATTTGGCGGAACTAGGGCCGGTTACCTGTTTTTTAAGTAACCACCGTAGGGGGGGAAATTGGTTCCTTTTTGAGAGTTTATGTGCTGTCGCCTGAGCTTACGCGCGGGTCGGCATAGTGTTGGTGAGGGTTGATTTACGGCAGGCGCTGGGCTGGTTTAGGGCTGATTTGAGGGCCGTTTAAACCTTTTTAGGTTTTGGATGACATTGAGTTCAAGATTGGCTTAGGATGTACTCAATTTGGATTTAGGGCTCGCGGAAATCTAGATGGCTCATAGCATAAGTTAGCCCTTTTATGCTTCACAACTCAGAACACACACACACACACAGCATTGTTCCATGGAGTTTGGAAAGACGCCGCTGCAACTAGAGTGAGTAGTGTACAGCGCATATGTCTCAGGGCAATAATTAAATATCACAGTCCCAAAAACTACAACTTCTACAGCAACCATAGCTGTTTAATGCCGCCTCTCAAAACAACGTTCAGGTATTTACAAAGCAAGTTTAGATTTGGAGGCAACAATCGTAAATGTATGTAGACATATTTCTCACCGAAGTGACTGGGCAAAACAGATAACCGCAGCTGCCTACAAAACACCCGATACAGTCGCACAACACACACAACAAATCAGATCCGCGCACACACACACACACACGCCAAAGAACCGACCATACTTGCACATTGCGCAGCAAATGAGGAGCAACCCAAGCAGCTAAGCAACTATGATAACCACACTCATGCCGCACACACCAACACAATTTGCACACCCTTCATCACCCGCTAGAACCACACACCACGCGCCAAAGGATACTCAAACTCTCCAATTCGCCACAATCAAGCACCACACAATACGTGATGAACATTCCTGTCAACATGCAGCCACTCACCACACAACAAGTCAGAAACACGCGCACCGACTGAGTACCTGCCAAAATCACATACCACACAACACAAAATAATCACACCTGCCAACTGAAACACCCATCACATTCACACATCACACAAGCCAACCGTCAGCACCCGGGCCAAATGCTTACAGCCAGCAACCACACAAACAAACAACCCATTCGCCAGGTGAACACTCGCCAAACTAACGAACCATACAGCAAACTCAAAATGCACGGCCACCAGCTGAAGACCCGCCATACTCGCGTACCTAGTTGACCTCTGAATACACGCATAATTTCACACATGTGATGAACACCCGCTAACAAAGCACCCATCGCAGTCACGCACCACGTGACAAAGTAGAACAACTCACGGCAACTGAGCACCCTGCACACTTGCGTAGCACACAAGCACGCCAGCCACCTAAGGCACCGCGCAAAGGATGAACTGAACACGCGCCAACAGGCGCAGTCATACACCGTGCAACCAAGTGACAACCACACCCGCCAACAAAGCACTCGCCTGAGTCACACACCGCATCAACACAGAACAAACAAACACGCCCGAACGCCAGCCATACTCACACCGCGCACAAATGACAAGGTTAAACACCTGCCACACTTACGCACCACGTCACAAACGACACGCCCACGCCCCAACTAAGCACCTGCTAGAGTCACTCACCACACAAGAAGGGGCGCTGGCACCGACCAACTGAGCGCCAGCTACAGCCAAACACTGCATAACGAATAGATAAGCACACCTGCCAACTATCCACCGGCCATGCTCATGGAACCACACACTAAATTTCAAGCACTCGGGCCAACTGAGCAGCCGCCACACCAATACACCGCACAACAAATGAGCAACGCGCGCCAGCGACAAACGCAATGACAAGTGCTGCGTCAGGAAAACCTTGCCAGCGCAAGAAGGGCGAATCCGGAACCGTTAAAAAAGGGCCCGGAACCGTTAATCCGGAGCAGCGAGCTGGCTACGCCCAACAAAAAAGCGGTCTACCAGCCAAAAAATATACACATGTTAATGATTCCAGGTAAATTCCAAGGCACAATTGCAACAACCTGAGGTTATTCAGCCGAGTCTGTAACAATCCTGCGCAGGGTTGAGGTTCGAGGGGAAGTTCGGGCTCAGCTTCAGGCGAATGTTGTGTCGTGGGTTAGCTTGCCGGGTGTTCAGTTGGCGGGCGCAGCGCTTATTTGCCACTAGATTCACACTAGATTCACCCCAAATTTCCATTGTACTTGAAAAAATGCCGGAACCCATTGTTTTCCACATGAGCCGCGCCATAAACCCTGACAATACAAAGTAGTAAAGGGGGGTGTCCTATAAAATCCCCGCGAAAGCCAAACCGCAGGCCGCGAAAGCTTGCGAAAGCTTATCGCGAAAGAAACCAAAGAAGGTCCCGCCGCGAAAGACCCGCGAAAGCCTGCATGCTGTGTGACGGTCCGCCGCGAAAGCGTCGCGAAAGCAATTCTAAAGAAACCAAAGCCCGCGAAAGCAAAACATTGGGGCGCGAAAGCATCGCGAAAGGGTCCGCGAAAGCAAGTTTATAGGACCGCTTTTTACACAAGAGTATTTGGCACGGCTCACATGAAAGTCATGGAGCACGCGGTTTTTCACCAAATTTGGGCCCAATTTTCCCTCTAACGGTTCCGGTCCCTACCTAACGGTTCCGCCCCCTTTTTTAACGGTTCCAGGCCCCTTTTTAACGGTTCCGGGCCCTTTTTTAATGGTTCCGGATTCGCCCTTCTTGCGCTGGCAAGGTTTTCCTGACCCAGCACTTGTCATTGCGTTTGTCGCCGGCGCGCGTTGCTCACTTGTTGTGCGGTGTGTTGGTGTGGCGGCTGCTCAGTTGGCCCGAGTGCTTGTAATTTAGTGTGTGGTTCCATGAGCATGGCCGGTGGATAGTTGGCAAGTGTGCTTATCTATTCGTTATGCAGTGTTTGGCTGTAGCTGGCGCTCAGTTGGTCGGTGCCAGCGCCCCTTCTTGTGTGGTGAGTGACTCTAGCAGGTGCTTAGTTGGGGCGTGGGCGTGTCGTTTGTGACGTGGTGCGTAAGTGTGGCAGGTGTTTAACCTTGTCATTTGTTGCGCGGTGTGAGTATGGCTGGCGTTCGCGGGCGTGTTTGTTTGTTCTGTGTTGATGCGGTGTGTGACTGAGGCGAGTGCTTTGTTGGCGGGTGTGGTTGTCTGAGGTTGCACGGTGTATGACTGCGGCGGATGCGCGTTGGCGCGTGTTCAGTTCATCCTTTGCGTGGTGCCTTTGGTGGCTGGCATGCTCATTATTTGTTGCGTGCTATGTAAGTGTGCAGGGTGCTCACTTGGTGTGTCCCTACTTTGTCACGCAGTGTGTGACTGCGGCGGGTGCTTTGTAGGCGGGTGTGCTGATAACTTGTGTGAAATCATGGGTTCATCCAAAGGGAGTGTTTGAACATGTATTATATATAGTATTTGAGTGTGGAGGTGGTGTGTTTTTACAATTCACTGTAGGCACGCGCCTGTGGCGGGTCTTCAGTTGATAGCCGTGCATTTTGAGCTTGCTGTTTGGTTCGTTAGTTTGGCGAGTGTTCAGCTGGCGGATGGGTTGTTTGTCTGTTGTGTTGTCGCTAGCTGTAGGTATTTGGCCCGGGTGCTGATGGTTTATTTGTGTGATGTGTTCAGTTGGCAGGTGTGATTATGTTTTGTTGTGTGGTATGTGATTTTGGCAGGTACTCAGTCGGTGCGTGTTTGTGACTTGTTGTGTGGTGAGTGGCTGCTTGATGAATCCCGAATCCGAGGATGGGGCCTTCCCAGTCCCGAATCTCGAATCTCAAATCCCGAATCCTGAATGCGAGGATGGGGCCTTCCCAGTCCCGAATCCCGAATCCCGAATCCCGAAATGTGACTCGAGTCCCGAATCCCGAATCCCGAATCCCGAAATGTGACTCGAGTCTTGAATCCCGAAACCCGAAAATGTGCTTCGAGTCCCCAATCGCGAATCCCGAATTCCGAATCCCAAAAATGTGATTCGAATGCCAAATCCCGTATCCCGAATCCTGAAATGTGATTCGAGTCCCGAATCTGAATCCCGAACATGTGCTTCGAGTCCCAAATCGCGAATCCCGAGCTCAAAATCAAAAAAATGTGATTCGAATCCCTAAATGTGATTCCAGTCTCGAATCCCGAATCCCAAAAAAGTGATTCGAGTCCCGCATCCCGAACCCCGAATCCCGAAAATGTGATTCGAGTCCCGAATCCCGAATCCCGAACATGTGATTCGAGTCCCGAATCCCGAATCCCGAATCCCGAACATGTGATTCGAGTCCCGAATCGCGAATGGCAAATTCCAAAAATGTGATCCGAATGCCGAATCCCGAATCCCGAAAATGTGATTCGAGTCCCGAATCCCCAAAATGTGATTTGAGTCCCGCATCCCAAATCCCGAATATGTGATTCGAGTCCCGAATCCCAAATACCGAATCTCGAATCCGGAAAAAGTGCTTCGAGTCCCGAATCGCGAATCGCGAATCCCGAAAATGTGATTTAATCTCGAAATGTGATTAAATCCCCAATCACGAAATTGGCAGCGACCTCCGGATCGCCACTCATCCCTACCCAGCATACAAAGGGCAGATATGCACCACGAACAGCTTGCTAACAGGCATAACCTGGCACGCCAGCAGGCTTCATGGCAAAACTAATGCATGGCTTGCAAGGTTTCTATTCCGGATCCCCCGACCAAGCGGATTTACCGAATTCAATGCGCCATGGATCTCCCAAACCTGTTTTGCATTGAACACATGACACAATCCGGATCCAGCCATGATTTTATTGCTGTGTGTCTCAAACACACTTCTATCAACAGTGAAAACATGCTCCTCATTGATTGCATCCATTGCTTTGAGCACCAAAATCCTATTAAGGGCTCTGAATGCACCAGTCGCACAACCCGACAACGCAAAATATACTGTTTTGGGTCTGTTTGAAGTCTGTTTGGCCCGGTTCCTGGAACCAAGTTCTATGACCCTGCTATAGCGGGAACCAAGCTGGTTCCTGACATATAAGTTACCGGAAGCCCTGGGCCATACTCCAGATACCCACGTTTTTTAGGGCATTGTTTTCAAAAACCCGGTTTTTCGGGGTAAATACCTCCTAGGTCGACATGATACCCTTAAAACATGTTGGTATTTGGAGTCGGGGGTAGGAACATGTCTGGCAACCAAGAGGTGGGAACTTGGTGCCGTGCAGCCATCTAGGTGTCTAGCCCTGCTGAAAGTAAATAATGAATCACTTTGAGTGGGTCAAACTCAGAAACCCAACCACTAGCCCAACATGCAAGACCACTAAAAACCTTGGGGGGAAACCAACTGACCACATCTAAAAAGGCAAGTTCCTGTCTTTTTTTTGCATTTCACCCGCGAAAGTTACAAACTTTTAGCAGGGGATCAGCAAACGGATAGCCCAGGTAACTGACTTCCACGTTCCAACTCGGTGAGTGGGTTGATAAACCAAGCCAAGTTCTTCTTTCATCCTTCTTTTTTTAGAGGGTCGACATGATACCCTCAAAAAAAGTGGGTATTTGGAGTCGGGGGTATGGTTTCAATTGCTCCCATGCGATACCAAAACAGGACATACTGTGGACGGTTGACATCGAAATCCGCTGCTTGCACCACGAAATAGAACCATGCTGGAGACCATCACGTTTCTTGGTGTTTACAGGTGGTTCCTTGGGGAATCTCATCATTCAGGGTTGGTGTATGTTGGGGTTTAACTAAACCACATGTTCCTTTGGTGTTTTGGTGTTTACCTTGTGGAGTCAAGTCCTTCCGTTGGGTTTCCGAACGGCTCGAGAAGCGGATTTCGCAACGCTCCACAGGAGGTGTTCCCAACTGGATGGATGGGGGGGGGGGAGGTTGAACCCATATTGAAGCCGGGTTGAAACCACCTAGCCCAGCCCAATTAGGAGTAATACTTTACTGTTGTTGGCCATGCGTTTAGATGCTTTTAGGCTTGGGTTCTGCTCATTTTAGGTTGGGGGGCTGCCAAGACACATAATCCATGCAAACCTGGCGAAGGTAGGTTGGGGCGGGACCCACCCGATGAAACAAAGGAAACATAGCATAAAATTGCTGGTTGCCTACTATATGCATGGGTAAGTGGGATCCACTGGGTAGGGGGAATAGGGAGCCCTTTTAGTAAGCACCTTTGGCCAATCCACTCGGGAACTGTGCGTCGGGGGTTACAGTGTGCGTAACGACTGATGTCATCTTTGACTAAGTCCTGCAACTATGTTGTCGTTAAGCTGTTAGAGGCACAAAGTCGAAACCGCTGAAAGCTAAACACGCAAACAGCCAACAACCGGGAACAACAGACCACGGAAGATGAAGGGAAACAAGTGAAACAAAGAAATACAATCAACGAAAACAAACACTTGGTGGCTCCCCCCCCCGTTAGCTGTTTGGCTTCTTAGGGTGTGGGGGTGTCCGAGTTTCACCAACTCCAAGTTTTCGTTTTTAGCGATCGATCTGAAAAGGACCGACCCAAGTCCGCCAACCGAAAAGAGTGGGCACCAACTTATTCTAACCTCCAAAACTGGAGGACCTAGTCACTGAACCACTGGAAATGCAAAAAAGACGGGGGAAACGCCCAAAGCGCAAACACGCCGAAGCGCCCGTCATCCCGCCAGCAGCGAGCGAGACGCGCGACGCAGGCGTGTTCATCGCCGCGGATGCCGGTGCCAGGGCTGCGGCGCAGGGTGAGGCGCGCTGTCTCAAGGGTCTGAGGCTGAGGTGTTTGTGTTGGGGGAGCCCAACAAAGTTGTTGTTGAGAAACCTGTTTTTCAGTTTTGCTTATTTAGTGGTTCAAATCCAAACACTGAACTGCTAAAATTTAATTGTTTGATCCCCTTCCAACGTCAACTAAGCCAAAAGCCAAAGTCCATTTTGGGGGGGTCTGAAAAACGGCACGGATTTCGACTATACACTTTCTTTTGAATTATTGTCTTTGGTTTTCAAGGGACACTTCCGTTTGCTGAAATGAATATGCTTGATTTTCTGTTGTTGGTTTTAAACAGAATCGATTTCACTACCGGACATATGTTCATGTTTTGTCCAGTGGGCGAAAAAGCAAATGTAAGCTTCTGATTGGGTTTCAAGGGAAAGGGAGAACCGAAATCCATTTGGGGGTTCCCCTTAAAAACAAGCACCTTCAAAATGGGAATCGGGCCTCTATGCGTATGTTTTTGTTCTTGGCCCTTTGGATACGCCTTGTTTCCCCATGGCCGGGGCTCCGAAAAAGGCTCCGACCGCTCCAAGAGGGACACAGACTGTTTGCTTTTCGGGGTCTCCAAAATGATTTCATGGTTTCTGGTTGATGAAATATCCATCAGAACCCGTTTCTGACAGATTTGGGCCAAAGGGGCCAACTCTGTCTCGGCGCAACAGTTTATCCAAAGGCAAGGGTTTCCCTTCCCCTTGCGACCTCCTCAGCCATAGTCCATGGTTGTTCTTGGGACACATTTTACATGTTTGCTTGTTGTGGTTGAGTGGTCGAAATCAAACCACTTAATTGCTAAAATTCAAGTTTGTGCTCCCCTTCCAACGTCAACCAAGTTAGTCATCTTCCAGTACTTTGCCTCGCGGTTTGCTCACCATGGCCCTTAGTCATCTCTCGCCCCCTTTTTGGTTCCATGCGGTTCGGCTTCTGCGAGGTTCCCTTCGAACATCCGAGCAAACAAGCCCGTGGTTTGTGTCTTCCATTTGCTCAAGAATATCTAGGTGCCCCAGTACCCTTTTACCAACTTTTTCGGAGGCGGGTTCCCCTAAAGTGGACTACAGAACAAAGGGCACCCTTATTGTAACCTCTCTACTGGAGGACCTAGCTATGTTGTGATGTTCCGGTGGGTTTTGAAGGGAATATAACCACTGGAAATATTATGATTCCAGGAGACTTCAGCAAATGGAGGCTTTCCACTGAATAATTCAGCATTTCTGAAACTCGTTGCAAAAAGGACGGCGGTTCATAGTGGAAAGGGTGGTGATATACTGCAGGCTGCAGGTTCGGCAGTGGACCCTGCAAAGCAACGCCCGGCCACCTGACCTTGTGTTGTTTCGATGGCTTCATGAAACCCCAAGCAACCTCTATATCATTTTCTGGTTCCATGCAAAAACCTTTCGGCGGACGCCTAAAAACTGAAAAACACACACATGCACACCCAAAATCAAACAAAACACACGCGCGCGCGCAAACACACAAAACACACACGCACCTGCGCCTACACCTACACCTACGCCTACACCTACACCTACACACGCGCCGCACCGCACCCCACCGCACCCCACTGCACCGCACCGCACCGCAAGCACGCCTCCCTACCCCCCCCCCCCCCCGCTCCCCACACACACACACACAGACAGACAGACAGACAGACAGACAGACAGACGGACGGACAGACGGACAGACGGACACACGGACACACGGACACACGGACTCACGGACACACGGACCAAAATCAACCAAATCTGACATCAGTATAGGGAGGGTTCTAGCAATTGTCTCATGTGTTTGTAAAAGGCGACATCTGGGAGTAGCATCTACATCCTATGCTCAGCGACCAGACCCCACAGGCCTACAGCCCTGACAGGCGGGCTCGGGGGTCGTCCCCCAGTAACGAAAAAAAATCAACACCAACGAAAATGCAAGGGAATCTTAAGGGACAGCCAATCTAGGTCCCCCAGCTGGGAGCCCCTTTCTCACCCCTTTTTTGGTTGGGAGGGTTCCCCTACTAAAATAGACTACGAACAAATGTTGGTACCCTGATTATAATCTCTCCACTGGAAGCCTGGTGAACGCCGACAAGGGTTGCAACGCTTGTCCTCAGGGAATTTGGGGCGGCCGACTCGAAGTTCATGAGGTCCAATCGGGGCTATGGGGATCAGACTATTAAGCCTTGAAATGACGGCCCTATAAGGCCTCTTTAAGGGCTTATCCCAGCAAAACCCTCCCAGCGCCCCTAGACATCTATGATTATCTTGCAGTGTGCCTTCAAAGGGGACGGAAGTTCACTTCCTCCCCTGAAAGTTCGCTTGCTTTGCCCGGGACGGATCGCGTTTGGGAGACTTTTCACAGGGGATGAAGAAGATTACTCTCAGGATAGTTGCACCCCTTGAAGCAAAAGTTTTCCGCAAGGTTCTACCGCAAAGAAAATGATTTGGTCGACGCCTGCAATTGAGATTTGACTCCTGGGCTAGACCATTGTTATGAGGACCTCAATCTATACATCCTCAATCTATACATGTTATACATGTGGTTGTCTTTGGCTAGTCGACCTCCGACCTTGTTGCCAAACTTCCATTTGCTGAAAAGAATATGTGTTACTTTTCATCTGCTGGTTTTAAAGGGAAACGCATTCGCTACTGGACTTGTTTTGCCCAGTGGACTAAAAGCAAATGGAAACGCAGATTGGTTGAGTCAAGCTCTCCCCAAGTAAAGGGGAGGAACTATGAGACGTAAGGCCGAGTGCCAGTGCCCGAACTGGTACCCTCTGGTCCACGTTGTCAATGCCAGTTTTGTTTTTAGAATAGTCTTCCACCCCCAAAACCTGAGGTTCCATGTTTGTGGAAGGAAGGTAATTGCCGCCAAGCCATGGTCGCCTTTTTCTAGGGGTACCTTCCCCATTCTAAACCCAGGGATCCTTCTTTCTAGAAAACCTCCGGAATCCCAGTTGGAAAACGGATCCGGTTATTGAAAAGAACAATGGTTGAAAAGAATGGACAGGGAATCAACCCCTAGAACTTTGAGGGTCCAACTCACAGACCGGAAAAAGGAATCCCCTAAGAAAGCTCCATGGGACATTCTGCGATCTTCTTTTGTTTTAACCCCCCGATGGGTATGGCCGAATGAATCTTTTCAAAGAATCAACCCCTAGACTTTGGCAGCCCGACCTCGCCCCTCCTCTGGCTCTGCCTTTGCAGGCTGATCGCGCACTTGCGACGCTGCAGAATGAACATGGCGGGGGGCTTACCCCAGTGGATCCCAGCCAGCCACAGTTCCAACCAGTGCATGCTTGTTGTTGGGAATCATGTCTTCCATTTTTGCTTCTTGTGGTTTAGTGGTCGAAATCCAGCCACTGAACTGCTAAGATTTGATTTGTTGCTCCCCTTGCAACGTCAACCAAGAGTGGGTTGCTTGCCCTCTTTTTTCCGACTTGTTTTGGGGTTTTGGGTTCCGATTGATGGAAACTCAACCAATCAAAAAAAGAGTGCCGATTCTTTTGTTCCCATGGAATTCCACTGGGCATCTGAGGTGTGCCATAGTAGGAAACTAACTAGTTTCCGGTTGGTTTGATATCGGGTAGTTCTCTTGGTTACCTAAACAGGAACAACAAAATGGATGTGTGTGTGTGTGCCGTGTAGCCATATACGTGCATGCGTATATGTAGACATGTGTAGACATGTGTAGACAAACATACATACATGCATACATATATATAATATTATATATATATATATATACACATATACACATATACATGTGTGTGTGTGTGTTTGTGTGTGAGTGATATCTTGACGTCTGTGAATCAACCATCTTGACTCAACAATTCCACCGGGTACGTCATGACTCGGGGGGTTTTTGGAGGGGTTGGTTCCAACCCCAGAAGGTTTCAAGTGGCTCCGCGCTCAAAGACCCGGCCTTTTTTTAGTTGGTATCATGTCCACCCTCTACTAAAAAAGGGAAATCGGTGTTTGCCTTAAAAAACCGAAACCGGCTTTCCATTTTTTTTGGGTTACCTAGAAAACGTGGGGATTTGGAGTAGGGGGGTTGGCCATGTCAAACATCACAGTTGTCCAAGGCCAAACGGACACCACTTTTGTTGCTGTGTGTGTGTTTCTGTTTTGCTTTACTCACTATGCTCTGCTTCTCTTTTTTTTTGTAGCACCGTATGTTTTTTGTGTTGCTTCGTTTCTGTTTTTTTTGGTAACCCCACAAAGGGACCACCGGAATCCACGTAGACACCCCCACTCTCGTGGCTTTTTCCGGGGATCCATAGCGGTACCCACTTTTCGAGGCCCAATGGAGCCTAGATGCAGCCGAAATGCTTGCTGAGGGTTATCCAAAATGGCTTGCCCGATCGGTAAGTGGAAACATGTACCAAAACCTGCGGTTGGCCCCTCCTGTTGTTGGGAAACATGTCTTCCATTTTTGCTTGGTGTGGTTTAGTGGTTGAAATCCAACCACTTATTTTTTTTGTTTTTTGCTCCCCTTCCAACGTCAACCAAGAAAAGCTGGGACTCAGTTGGACATGCTGCATGCTAAATCTGGCTCCTGAGTTCACCTGAAACGTTTTAGAACGATCATGTTCTTACCTCTTAAAAACACAACTTTTCAACTTTTCGGGTAACATGGGCTATATGTCTGTAAAAGATGAGAACTTCCCCAGGGCTTGGAGTTTTAGGGGGTAAGCTGTTAGTGGTAACTCAAAAAAATGTTTACTTTATTCGGGCAATCCTATCCACCGGAAGTGAGAATTTGAATGGGTTTCTTGAAAGGGACCCGTTTCCTCAAATGCCAGTTGCTTCCTCTTGGGGAACCCCCGTTTTTTATGGATTGAAAAAACGGTTTTCCAGTGACACACCCTCAATGCGGGTGTGTCAAAAGTTTTGAGGGCTCCCCTTTTTGGTGGTTTGTTAAACATGGTTGTTGTTGGGAAACATGTCTTCCATTTTTGCTTCTTGTGGTTTAGTGGTTGAAATCCAACCCCTTAACTGCTAAAATTTGATATTTTGCTCCCCTTGCAACGTCAACCAAGAAAGGCTGCAAGAAAAAAGCAGGCATGCGGTGAATTACCCCAACCTGGGGTGAATTCGCATGTCAAGGGTACCCCCTGCTCCAAATACCCACGTTTTTTAGGGCATTTTTGGAAAATCATTGGATTCCATGGTAAATACCTGCTTTTTGAGTAGAGGGTCGACATCATACCCCTTAAAAAAAAGGTATTGGGTGGTTACGGGGTAGTTTGGAGCTCCAGGCGGCTGAAAACCTTGGACAAAGCCTCTGGTTTTTAAGCCTTGGGTGTAGGGAAATGGTTGGCTTGGAAAAAAATACATGGACGGAAAAGGGGAGACAATCAAGCCTCACTTGCCCAAACTCTTGGTCGTTTAAAGTGTTCCTGGACCCTCAAACTACCCTTAAACATGGGACAACGCTCGTGTGTTTGGGGCAAGAACACATTATAAGAGTAGTTTGAGGGTTCATGTTCCTTTTGTTTGGTCTATTGCTTGGCATGGCAACCGAAAAGGGGCTCACCTGCTATTTCTGGGTCATTCGGGCAACTGAGAAGCAGATACCCCCTACTCCAAATAGCCTCTTTTTTGGGTATTATGTCGACCCTCTACTACCAAAGGAGGTATTCACCATGGAAAACCAGTTTTTCCAAAAATACCCTAACAAAAGTTGGAATTTGGAGCAGGGGGTATGTGCAGATATATAAGACCTCTTAGGTTATTCACACGGCTTTGGGACCTGATGATTGTGACTTACTTGGAAGAGGGTTATGTCCCAGTCCTGAGCCCTGCTTGGTTGCTTGCCCCGACTGATATGAGCTTCGGATAGGTTCGTTCAACAGTTGTCTATGGTTCAGTTGGGAGGGCTTACTGATTCTCCCACGTCCTTTGGGAAAACATGTATACTGTTGAGGGTTGCCGATTGAGTTTGCAAGTGTCAAACTTTTTGCTGGTGGGTTCTTCATCATTTTTCTTCGCTGCTCGTGGCAAGTTGTGTGGTGTTTGGGCTCTTTGGCTCTATTAATCTTCAGGTTTAGGGGCTGCAAAGAGCAGTCAGCTTTTTGTTTGCAAGGCGCATAGCGTTTGGGTTGTGAAGTTGAGTCAAGGTCGAAAAGGTTGTGAGTTTTTTCTGGCCCGACTCATGTCAGGACTCAACTCAACGGGTTTGGTTACAGAAAAATGTACAGGAAATGGCCGCGCACCTTAAATTCGACGCACCCCCTCGTGTGAGATGCGCCGAAGTCCTTGTCTGTCACTTTCGCCACGCAGCAAGTTGTTCTCGCCGCGCGTCTGTACATTGGGGGAGATCCCCTGGCACTAACGGAATGCACACCAGGGGCTCAATGTCGGGGAGGCCCGGGAAGCTGCTGAGGGAACGAGTCACCTCAGCAGCCTCCCGGAGCAACCCCGCCACGAGCCCCTGGTGCGGCATTTGAGGCCTTCTTGAAAGGCCCGGTCGGGCATCCTGGTATCCGCACCACTGAAGGCTTCGGCACAAACGCATCGGCTCGCAAGGAAATATAGGGCCATTCAAGATCAAACGAAGAGTTCGCAAGCTGGCCTCGAACGAGTGAAGCTCCCGCTTCCAAGATTTAGGGGTAAGCCTAGCCACCTCACTTTGCTCAGGTAAAGCGTGTATTGGCCTCTGCGCTGTTCCCAGGTTCACCGGGACGGTAGATTGTGTGACCACCCTAAAGTTAAGCAGCATTTCAAACCAGGTTATTCCCGGGTCATTTTCCTGCTCCGCATCCGGCCATTTTAGAAGTGAAAGCCACGCGTGCAGTCTCTTTTCCCCACAGTGAGATACAGTGTTGGGCTTCGGTGTAGGCCGGAAGGTGAAAAGGTAGCCAATCATCATTCCCCCAGTTTTGCAGTGCAAGGAGTTTTTCTCGTTCGGATTCTTGCCTTGGCTGAGCCGTGGAAGTGTTTGCTTCATCTAGACGTAAACATGCCACCCTACTTAGGATTTTCAAAGAGCGTGCTGAGGCAGCTTCAGTAACATCAACTTCTTTTTGAAGTTGCTTAAGCAGGCCCCCAAACACACCAAATGAGGCTGTTTTCCTGTAGAATTTCCCCTAACCCAACCCTTTGGTCAACATATTCCCTATCACCCCCCAATAAAAAAAGAATGGTTGACCGATTTGGATGATGAAACTCCTTAGGTAAATGATGGTGGTTGTATTAACCCCCTTTGTTTTAATGGTGGTTTGAAACCCAGGACATTGGGCTGCTCGGGCCCGAGATTTGCGGTTTCTTTTTTTTTCTTTCTTTTCTTTCTTTGAGGTGCAGACTGCGGAGCAGTACGAGTTTCTACACCGAGTCCTGCCTGTTCTAACCGAACAGCTGAAAGATGACCCGATGTCAGCAGTGCCCAAAAGTGGTTGATTCCTATTGGCCATGTGGGTATGGGTCAAAGTTGAACAGGAATTTATTCACTTGTTTTCATGTTAGGTGGTTTCATAGGATATGTAGCACGGGGGCTAACAACCATACTAAATCTCACAAAGCGTCGATGTGTTTTTGTTTGGGGGATCCCCTTGTGGGTGGTTTTAAACCAAACCCAAAACAAAACCCGCCATTTCGTGGGGCGCAACCTCGAAAAAGACGGGCCACGAGCATTTTAGAAGCAAAAGTCAGCTCGGGTTTTGGGCGCTGCGATCTTCCTCGAGCCCCGGACTGAGCTGCAGGCAGTGTCAAAGCTGCTGAGGTCAGCTCGCGAAATGCGCGGGGAAGTGAGTGAGATGAGTTACAATCAACACCCGGGTAGATAAAGGTTAGTAAGGGAAAGTCCCAGCCCGAATGAGTTGCGGCCGCCTTCTTAATTCTTTATATGGTTCTGGGGGGAATGAGACGAGATTAGGGGAAGTGAATGGTAAAAAGATGTTGCACTTCCCAGCATTGGAACGAGATGGCCTGTCTTTATGTGACTTCTTATTTATTATCTTCTTTCACTTTCTGCTTCTCTTTTCGTGTTGGCGTGGAGCTCATCTCCATTATGGATAACATGTCCAACATGAGAACTGACATAAAAGAAGGGAGAAAGTGCTCCCTTATCAGTTAGTGTTTACTTCCTGAGCCGAGCGAAGAGCGGTGAAAAGGATACAATCTTAATCCACATCCTGTGTCTTTCTCTTTTACATTACTTTCATATCTTGGTTAAAGGATTTCTCAGTCACTAGTATGTTCTTCTTACCTTTGCTCGTCTTAGATTGAGGATTAGTGACGAGACGAGCGAATGAAGATAAGAAGAGGATGAAAGACGTGTGTAAGAGAACGAAGTGAAAGGGAAGTGACAGGTAATTCCTAACACAAGAATCTCTCCCCAAATCCCAGATACACTTCTATAATTGGAGAACTTTGGATCCTAATGTCATCTCTCTATTTCATTCTAATGTTCACCCTTTCTACATCCTCAAATACCATTTGAGCTCAACACCCGGCCGGGTAGATGAAGGTTAGTAAGGGACGATCCCCATAAATAGCTGCGGATATCCACCTTCTCAATCCTGTACCATGATTCTGGGGTTACGACCATTTTAGCACCGATGGGTTTTGAGCAAGCGACGAAAATACAATTTTCCTGGGTTTTCCGATTTTCTGACAGGTCTGCTTCTTCGACCCATCGCAAGTAATCCGAGTTCCCCAGTTCTGAGGCTTTTTTTTGGGTCCGATGGTACCCCGCAACCTCCAAAGACCCGCTTCGCTTCGCCTTTTGTCAGGTGGTATATTTTTTGAAGAACCAGTTTCGGTTTTTCAGGGAAACCACCCCCCTGCTCCAAATACCCAAAGGTGTTTAAGGGTATTTTGTGGATTACCTGGTTTTCCCACGGTAGACACCGATCCCTTTTTTAGTAGAGGGTCCACATGATAGCCTAGAACAAGGCCGGGTATTTGGAGTACGGGGTAGGTTGAAGATCCCAGCATTGAAGGTTATGTTTTGATGAACATCCCGCCTGCACCTATCTTGCCGAACATCCAAGTAGTTCATGGCTCTCAGTAAGTGACTCAGCGGGTCTGCATGTCAGGCTCCTTGTTGGCCTTGTTGTTCATGGCAAGTTCGGGCAAGCCATGAGACTGAGTTGTTCAATTCAGAACATGTGGGTATGTGTCAAAATGGGGTACCCCCGAAATAGGTGGGTTCCGAGTGGTTTCCCGTTAAATCAACCCAAAAGGGTACTTTTCGCCTCAAAGATTGGTCTCTGGTTGACCTTTGCTTCTGGCAAATGGTTGCTTTTGTTGAGCTAAAAACACAGTCTCTGACTTTGCAGGGGGTGGAAGACCAAAGCTGTTTCCGCTTTTCCGGAAAACGGATCGCCAACTGTTGGTCAAAAGACGGATCGCTTTGGGTTTGCCAGGGATGTACTTCACAATGAAACAACATTTCAAGCAACTGGGAGTGGAAGTGTTAGTCGGCTTAAGCTCAGCTAAACAACTGCCTTCAGTTCAGCTGCTTGGCGCCCCGAGGCAGGTTCATACGAAGTGCGGAGAATGTGAAAGAAAAAGAAGGCAGGTCTCACAGGGAAGAACAAACAAAGTCTTGCCATTATTCTATGGGAACCCTCTTGGGTTGAAAGGGAAAGAGAGACCTGGATGGATCTTTTCCTTGCACCTATTGGGGTGGTAGTCAACCTGAAAGGTTGCTTCGTTTTCTCGCATGGAAATCGAGGTTGGGAAACCACCCCCCTACTCCAAATACCCACGTTTTTTAAGGGTATGTTTGGAAAAACCTGGTTTTTCAAGGTAAATACCCTCTTGTTTAGTGAGACCCTAAAAATGGTGGGTATTTGGAGTAGGGGGCATGACCACCGCAGGTTGTACTTTCCCGGCACAAATATGTGTTTGTCTCAAAACCGGGCAAGCTCCACAATGGCGGGTTTTCCTTTGGGTCCCTGCAAAACAAACCGTAGCCTAACAAAACGACAGGCTTCAGAATGCCCTGCCGGAGCGTCCGACTTAGTCTTGAACCAGAAGGGCTTTGAGACGCGCTGGGACGACAGTCAGTGGGGAGTGTCTCAAAATAGGAATCGGTCCAAACCACTTGTTTCTTGGTGGCTTCCAGCCATCCGGTTCCTTAGCTTTTTAGATCCTTGTAGTATTTAGTGGTAGTTTTCGTATGTAACCCACTAAAAGTTCTCAACTTAACTTTTAGTGGGGGATCAGAAAACGCGCAGCCCTGGTTTGGTGTCCTTGGGCGCTCCCTTTAACAGAGGTTCCTCCGTCGATTTTTTCGGAGCCTCCTAAAAGTGGCAGTTTCAATGGACACTGTCAGTCGCAATTTGTGAAGGGGAAATCCAGCGACCCCCACTTAAATCCCACTTTGAGAAAATCCCACACATCTTGCAAAGGTTGGAGTGGTTTACAGGGATTTCAACATCCACAACCGCACTTTTGTTGTGTTGTTCAGTTGTCACACCCAAACTAGGTCCCCCAGCTAGGTGCCCTTCTCTCACCTTTTTTTGGGGAGGGTTCTCCTACTCAAATAGACAAAAAAGAAAAAACATGGTACCCTTATTCTAACCTCCAAAACTAGAGGACCTAGCCAAATATGCCGACCCACATCGGGCACGTCGCGGCTTGAAAGTTTCCGTCAGCTCGCTTCGCTGACGGAAGTTGTATCGGAAGCCGTTTGGTTTTTTGCTTACTCCCAGCCCCCCCCCCAGTTCAGTGGACGTGACTTTTTCTTTTGAAGTGGCCTTTTCTTCAATTCCTGGCCGCATCTCGTGGTGTTTCGGTCGGGGTTCCCCCGTAACCTCGAAATACCCGGCCTTTTTCTAATTGGTACTTTTTGCAAAACCTGGGTTTCCACGATAATACCTCCGTGTTTAGTAGAGGGTCGACATCATACCCTAAAAAAAGTGTGTATTTGGAGTCGGGGGTTCATTTGATTTGGTCGCAAGGTGCACATGCCCCGGGCGAGCACCTTGCAACAACTGAAAGTGAGGCACGCTTCGCGCGCTCCGCCCGAGCCGTCCGAAAGTCGCAGGACTTGTGCGGAAGAAAGTCCCATGGGCTAAAAAAAAAAACAGCCTTTGTTTCCCTGGTTGTAGTGGTTGTCAGTTGGTTGTGGGCGTCAAAAACATGGAAACCAACATGGCGCCTGGGCAAATGGAACCAAAGACTCAAACCTGCGGTTTGCCTCAGTTCTTTTATTTTGAGCCACGCCCTGTTTTTTGTTGCTGAAAGGTGGGGGGGAGGGGGGGGGGGTCCGAATTTAACCCACACGTGTTATTAACTTTTCGCAGATCAGAAAACGAGAAAACGGACAGCCCAGGTTTCTTCCATTTGCTGAAATGAATATTTGTTTTTGCGTTTTTTCCCCTTGTTGTTTTCAATGAAATCAATTTCACAACTGGACATATGTATCGTTTCTTTTTCCCCCCTTTTTCAGAGGGCGCAAAAGCAACTGGAAGGAACCCGCACCCAAAACTTGGGGCGATGGAGCGGACACGTCAAGTAAGTGAGTAGCAACCCCTTGGTTATGACTTCCATTTGCTGAAATGAATATGTTTGTATTTTCCTGTTGGTTCATGGAATCGATTTCACGACTGGACAAATTTGTTCTCGCTTTTTCCAGGCGAAAACGCGAATGGGTGCAAAGCTCCCAAAGCCTCTGGTGGTAAGTTCCTCCTAAGCTCTCGGCTTTCGGGTTTTGAATCCTCCCCACCGAACGGGGGGACGGGGAGGTTTGGAGATCTCCACCAAACGGGGGAATTTTCCCGATGCTTGGTTGTTGTTGGGAAACATGTCTTACCAACAAGGGAATCTTGAAACTCAGGGAATGGAAATGGGTTCGTAACTCCGCTAGTTCTTAACCTAAACCTAAGAACTCGAACCTAATGAAATGGGTTCGTAACTAACTCCATCTGAATTCGATTCCTTACCCCTTAGAACTCCAAGCCCCGGGGAAGTTCTCATCTTTTACAGACATTTCTCGCCCATGTTACCCAACAAGTTGAAAAGTTGTGTTTTTAAGAGGTAAGATTTTACATTTTTGCTTATTGTGGTTTAGTGGTTGAAATCCAACCACTTAACTGCTAAAGTTTAAATTGTTGCTCCCCTTCCAACGTCAACCAAGTATGGTTGGAAGACAGGGTTGTGGTTGATCACTCGGAAAGTTTATCCAACCACTTCTGTGTTTTATATATATATATATATATATTTCGGAATCTCCCCCTTGATATGGGGTGTTGGTCTTTGGGGTTAGGCCCTTTAACGTATCACAGATTCGTGGCTTCCATTTCCCACAACCCTGGAAGAGGATAGGGTTCCAGACTGGGTCGAGTCACAGGTTCCTTTGGGCTGTGTCCCTATGTCTTCTTGGTGTCCCTTTGGTTGGTTTTCTTGCTTGTTCTTATGGGGTTTCCCCTTGGTCATGGTTGTTGGTG